GCCTGTATTTGATTTTGTTATTGTTATGTTCGTTTTTTTTTTGCACCGCACTCATCATATGTGTCAGCTATATGACGGTGGTCTGTAAATAGTCGAGTTTTGAGTATTAAACTGCTTTTGAGTATTACACCTTTATAAATAAATCTTTCGATTACATTATTCATCCGACATGCTTCTATTCTGTCATTTTCTTTGTTTTATCGACCCATGACCTCTTTTGCGTAATTTCACTTATCTGATCTCATTTGATAAAGCTTAACATCGTCAATGCGAGCTGACGTTACAGCACCCCGTCCGTCCCAGGACACAAACAAAAGGGGTTTCATCTTGGAAAAAAACCTATTTTAATCTCTTCTTTTCAAAACTTTTTTTCTTTTTATGACTTTTAACACAAGTCTCCTGAACATTATTTACACATGTATCTTCACAATAAAAGTGGGTTTTGAAGTTCTGTTTTTATTTAACTTTAATGGACAATCAGTCAAAAAGTGAGTCGTAATTTTCATTTCACACATTAAAAGTATTAACTGTTGTAGTTGTTATTCAATATACAAATGTGTTTTCAAACATTTGAATATTCTTTTAGAGAGTATAGACGGGGTGTGACTTTTCAAATAGTTTCTTTAATGGTGAGCACAGTGCAATACAAAAAAGCATCTTTGCTTCCAGTTTTGTTCATTACGGCGGTGTGGGCGAAGTCTCTTTTCTTGTCTGTTTCTTTCCCTCTGAAGTCTTTGTCCTCGTATGACTTTCCTAGTGATATCTGTGTCCTTGTCTCTTTCTTTCCTTCTGAAGTCTTTGTCTTCGTATGACTTTTCTAGTGATGTATGTATCCTTGTCTCTTTCTTTCCCTCTGAAGTCTTTGTCCTCAAATGACTTTCCAAGTGATGTCTGTTTCCTTGTCTGTTTCTTTCCTTCTGAAGTCTTTGTCTTCGTATGACTTTTCTAGTGATGTCTGTATCCTTGTCTCTTTCTTTCCTTCTGAAGTCTTTGTCTTCGTATGACTTTCCTAGTGATGTCTGTTTCCTTGTCTCTCCCTCTCCCACTAATGTCTTTGTCTCTGTCTTTTACACTTAAGTATCTGTACGTATTTTTGTCTTCCCCGCTGAAGTCTCAGGCATTGTCTCGGTCTTTCCCAGTGAAGTGTTTGTCCTAGATACGGTCGTTCCCACCGCTGTCCTTGTCGTTGTTTCCCACTTTAGTAGCTGTCCCCGTATGTCGTTCCGACTGGTGTCAATGTCCTTGTTCCATTGTCATTGTCGTCTCTTTGTCTTCGTCTTCGTCTCTGTATTTTCCACTGAGGCATCGCATTGTGTCTCTATGTCCTTGACTCTTTCGTTCCAACTGATGTCTCTCGGTTTTCGTGTATCCCCTCCCATCCGAAATATCTGTCCTGTTTTCGTGTATCCCCTCCCATCCGAAATATCTGTCCTGTTTTCGTGTATCCCCTCCCATCCGAAATATCTCTCCTGTTTTCGTGTATCCCCTCCCATCCGAAATATCTGTCCTCGTGTCGATCTGTCACTATCTGTCTTTGCCTCTACCTAAATATTAGAAGTATTTTGTCGTGTCTTTCCTTCTGAACTAGCTGTCCTTTTCTCTGTATTTCACACTGAAATGTCTCTCTTTCCAACCGAAATATCTGTCCTCGTGTCTACCTGTCTCACCATCCGTCTTTGTCCTTGCCACTACCTAAATATCAGCAGTATTTTGACGTGTCCTTCACACTGAAGTCTCTGTCCTTGTCTGTATTTCACACTGATATCTCTGTCCTCGTGTCTATCTGCCTCACTAAATTCTCTTTCCTTATCTCTATCGAAATATCAGCAGTATCTTTTCTTGTCTTTCCTTCTGAAGTCTCTGTCCTTGTCTGTATGTCACTCTGTCCTCGCGTCTGTCTCACGAAAGTTTCTGCCCTTATCACTACGCAAATATCAGCAGTATCTTTTCTTGTCTTTCCCTCTAAGGTCTCTGTCCTTGCCCTGTTTTTCCCATTGAAATCTCACGTTCAGTTGTATAATGATCATGACCGGATTACAATGTATGACAGTAAATGTTGACCACCAAAGATCTTATAGGACGACAAGGGTAGTGCGGGAAATTTCAAAGCTGGTATTTAGATAAGTAGCGCGTAATACAGCCACGAATTGTCAAACAAACGTGGTCGGCGACCTATGACGTTGACGCACACGCCCCCTATCATGTCCCATACGTGTTCAATTGGGAATGGTCTTGACTCATTGATGGCCATTGAATTCCATGGATGTTGTGCGGCTGGAGGTGAGTATTGGCGGCTCGTGCACAGTGAGCACGGGCGTTTTCGTCCTGAAAAAAACGTCGACCCACACGCCTTGCAAAAGGGACAACAAAGGGTGGTCAGTATGTTGTCCTAATAGTATTGTCCAGTGACGCTTCCTTGCATAATACGGAGCCCTCAGTCACAGTGATGTCACCCCACAACGTAACCGATCCAACGCGAAATCTGTCTTGAGATCTCAGGTTGACATTGGTTTGACGTTCATATCGACGTCGCCACACACGACTACGCCTATCACGGAAGTGTAAAGCGAACCTGGACTCATCCATCTTTCCGAGGCAAGAGAGTTAACTGACTATAAAAGTCCAGTTTCCACCCTTGCCGAACTAGGCTGGTATTATGGAGTTACATTTTGGCTGGACTATCGAGTCTTTGCATAGTCCTATCAAAATCGCGCACCGAAATCGAAATCCGGTTCGTAAACCGTCGGGCAGATTTCCGTCGATTGCAGGATTTGCATAGCATGCGCACCGCCAACTCGTTGTCAACAGATATTTTCCAAATCTTTTCAAGATTTTAATCAAGGTGATCACGTGATTTGATGCACTTCGCGATGTAAGACCCGTTTTCTCACAATATAGATCTTGATTATCAATCAGATCGCCTTGACTGGGCGCCGCCATTTTGTTTGAAGCAAATACAAGTGATACGAGAGGTGGAATCTGATTGGTCCATAGGAGAGGCATAGAAGGGACTAAACTCGTAACAGCCATTGGTGGCGCTACGATCGAGTCCAGGAATTCCAGCCTAGTTCGGCAAGGTGGAAATTACGATTTGTAAGGGGCGGCACAAAACGTGGACGTCGGGCATGGAGATGAACTGCATGGAAATCTCAAGTATTCCCATAAAAGTTTTCAGCAATTTGATTCGCTGTATGAGCTCGATGTCACAGAGCCTGGTTCGGATCAATCGATCCTGTACTCTTGTCGTTGACCTGTGACGCCCTGAACGGGATCGATCGTTAACATTTTGGGTTTCATGGTACCTATAAGTCTGGTTGTCTTCTAATCACAGACTGTGAATCATTGAACGATGTATCAATGCACGCTGACTTCTGCCATTCCCATGTTATGAGTCCATAGACGCTCTACGAGTTCATACACAAACAATGAATGAAACCAAGAAAATTCCAACTGAATGATAAGCAGAATCAATAAGCTTGACATAAATAATGATCCACAGATATTAATAGGCCTTCCTTGAAAGAGTCAAAACAGGAATGGCACCCTACGCACGTGCCTGACGTCGACGCTATTGCGTGAGGCACGTGCAAACTATCGGCTGTGTTTTGGTTTTAAGTTTTACAGACATAAACGTCCTTGCATAGGATGTTTGTCGTCAACCTATATCTTTGTTTTCCCTGATCCCCTACTTTTTAAGAGACGTGTAACCATACACTGACAGATAACTCGTGACATTGTTTCCTGCAATATGCAATGGCGACTCACACAGTATATAAAGTTAAAGAGTTTTGGTATATTTTTCGAATATTTCCTACAAAAGCCTTTACAAACTATGTCATATTTATCTGGAGTGATTGAACTGGGTTATCAATATTCCAGAAATATCACATCGGGGAATACCAGCAATAGGCCTCACGCAATATACGAGTTCCCCATCTACAGTCGTGGTTTCTCATTACGTATTCTCGATTGAAACCTAAACAGATGTACCATTCCTGTACCCTTACACCAGTCAATGTCTGAATATGCGGTATGACCATATGAAGACAGACACATGTTTATCTTATCAAAGAAATTGAATCACTTAACTGAAATGTATGACCTACTGTTAGTGTATTTCTTGATAATGGGCAAATAATTGGCCTCCTTCCCGATCAAAGGTCCTGCTCTTATTTTATGTCTAGAAAACGTAATTGTTATATAGGTATAATTTTCTCAGTTGACGACTTGCTTATATAGAACCATGTAAAACATTAGGATGTGTGTGATATGATGGCTGTAATATTGTGTTAAAATCGTGTTAAAACCATGTTTTCTTGTAGCGACTGTTTAAGCCACAAATCGTCTCGGCACTGACGGAACCAGGGTTACCAGATGTCAACACCTGTAACCTGTATCCCTACTATTTAAGAGACTTGTAACCATACACTGACAGATAACTCGTGACATAGTTTCCTGCAATATGCAATGGCGACTCACACAGTATAAAGTTAAAGAGTTTTGGTTTATTTTTCGAATATTTCCTACAAAAGCCTTTACAAACTATGTCATATTTATCTGGAGTGATTGAGCTGGTTTTTACGCCGTTGTTATCAATATTCCAGAAATATCACATCGAGGATACAGTCGTAGTTTCTCATTACGTATTCTCGATTGAAACAGATGTACCATTCCTTATAAGGTAATATCTATCTCGTCAATTAATTAAGGTAAAATCGCTTGTCGCCATCCAAAGATTTCATGCGCGAGATTTTTTCTCGGGTATTTGTATTCTTCACACATTTATTTGATTGATGTGGCCTTATCTCTCCCTCTCCCTCTGATGTCCTTTCATACTTGATGTAGTAAAAGGCTGGCGAGCTATAGACTCGTAATACGCACAAGCTGTTTATAAATGTTCAACAAGATGCAAAAAAAAATGAGTTTGCAGTACCAAACAATGACATAAGACTTTGACCATCACCCTTGATAGTCTTTAGCACTATGGTCACTATTCTTACCCTAAAGTTTGTAAAGTGGAGCGGACGTCCTCCCAGCTCGAGGTCTCTGCAGCTGCTTTGTGTAATCTGTGACACCGTCCAGAACAGAATGGCTGTTATAGCGATCGGTCTCCACTGTCGCTGACAATACCTCAGTCACAAAGTGGACTTTTGTCCAGATAACCCAGCGTTATATCCTCCTGAAGTGGTCACGAAGCACTACACTGATAATCACATTGTTACTCCCCTACTTACTCCAATGTTCCCAGATGACTGTATACCAGTACGCAATGCATTTAGACACGTGCGTGCATCACACCAGTCAATGTATGAATATGCGGTATGACCATATGAAGACAGACATATGTTTATCTTATCAAAGTAATGTAATCACTTAGCTGAAATGTATGACCTACTGTTAGTGTATTTCTTGATAATAGGCAAATAATTCGCCTCCTTCCCGACCAAAGTCCTGCTCTTATATCATGTCTAGAAAACGTAATTGTTATATAGGTATATTTTTCTCAGTTGACGACTTGCTTATATAGAACCATGGAAGGCATAAAGATGTGTGTGATATGATGGCTGTAATATTGTGTTAGAACCATGTTTTTTTTGTAGCGACTGTTTAAGCCACAAATCGACTCGGCACTGACGGAACCAGGGTTACCAGATGTCAAAACCTGTACCCGGATCCCCGCCTATGACGACACGCCCTGCCTCTTATACAAGATGCCGTATGCATCGTCGTCGGTCATTTAAAATTGAATTTACAAAATGGCCGACCCTTCACAAAGATTTATGTATCTTGAAATAAGGTCACACACAATGGCAGAGCCAAAAATATATCCTGTTGACAAGACTTAAATGCCTGCTGACATAAATAATGCATGATTATCTATCAGGCTGTGTAAATGAACACAGCATGATTATATATTATATTGCGGACATCACAGACACATGATTATTCACCAAGCCACTGACATCATAATAATAGACTATAAATGTCCACCCTTGCCGAACAAGACTTGCAGTTAGATCCGATATTTGTCGTAGATCTCCTAAAGCCAAGAGATGCAACAGCAAAGGCCAAACTGACTCTATTTCTGAGAGATAGACAGCTACTCGAACGTATATTAGTAGAGCAGCCAAAAATAAAAAAATGAAATTACATCAAAATACGAAAATAGAAACCATATCACTACAAAAACAGAAATTCTGTGAATACCATATCACAGTAGATACGTGTACCCTGCTCACACACATGAGTCCCAAAAAGGGACTGGTCAGCCGAAATTGCAAAGGCAGAAGGCGACCTCTTAAACACTTAAAGCAACAACAACAACGAACTAGGCAGGCAATTCCGAATTCGTCTGCTTCGGCTGGACTAACGAGTCTATGCATAGTCCAATCAAAATCGCCAAACGGAATCGACATCCGGTTCGTAAACAACGTTAACGCGGCAGATTTCAGTCGATTGAAGGATTTGCATAGAATGTGTACCATCAACTGGGCGTCATCAGATATTTTCAAAATCATTTAATATTTTTTATCAATGTACTCAAGTGATCTGATGCACTTCGCGAGGTTTTATTACGATATAGCTCTTAATTATCGATCTTGACTCGGAGCCACCATTTATTTTGTCTCAAGCAAATGCAAGTGATGTGAGAGGTTGAATCTGATTGGTCAGTAGGAGGGACATAAAAGGGTGGTAAGCGGACTTTTATAGTCAATTAACTCCCTTGCCTCGGGAAGAGGCGGCTGGTGCGAATAGCCATCATACTGTTAATATCACTGTTACATGACTATCTCTCAGACAGCTGAGTCCACTGATAAACAATTATCGCGTAGATGCTGACGTCACTGAGATTACATTGGGCTGCATTCGTGACCAAGCCAAATAGCTACTCGTTCTCATGTCGTGGTTGTTGTTATGACTGGGTTCCGTCTAAGCGCACCGGACATAGATGAAGATGTAATGATTTATGTATATCTCCCCCATATATCACGTATATCCCAGATGCTATTGAAAACACAGTGGGACTGACGGTATTATACAGTATTATTGAACACCGTAACCGTATCTTGGGTATATTTTAGATGCAAGACGTATGTAAAATAAAAACTTATTCACTGTTACCTGATTATCGATCGGGCTGCTGACGTTACTGTTATATGGTTATCCAATTGGCTGATGATGTCACTATGACATAATTATCCCTCGGGCTGATGACGCCACTGTTACGTGATTACCAATCGGGCTGCTGGTGTCCATAAAAAAGAGTACCGATTACGATTTCGATTCTGTTAATTGAATCCTAAATAAAACTTAATTAGCAAATTGTTCTCAATAAAATGATAAGTCATTTTAGCTTGAATCACATATTGTCCAGTCTATCGTATGTGTTACTGTTTGAATTGCATGGGGTAATTTGCATATTGTCTCTGCAGGGTAGTTAAAGTAAAGACAACATCTTTCATGGATGACATCTGATTTTATTCTTTTATGATGCGACGTTTCCCTATAGATCCTTATAACATTGTCCAGCAAGAGTGAAGTAAGACAGTACACTACAGGCTTATGAACGTTACAGTCAATGTTAAAAAATGACTGAAATTTTCTCTTAGGCAATTTAGCAAATGTCATTTAACTGCAACATATACATCTGGTAAGGAATAACAAAAACAATATCAGGGTATGCATGAAAGGAACTAACAACAACAATGGATAATGGTGGATTGATACAGCAACAACCATCTTCTCGAGGCAGGAAAGTTAACTGACTGTGGAGGTCCAGTTCAACCCTTGCAGAGCTGGGCCTGAATTTCTTGGTTCGATCGAAGTGGTTATTACCAGTTATGTTCCTTCTATGTCCCTCCTACTGACCAATCAGATTCCATCTCTCATATCACGTGCATTTGCTTCAAACAAAATGGCGGCGCCCAATGAAGACGATCTGGTCGATAATCAAGATCGATGTTGTAATTAAACGGGTCTTTCTTCGCGAAGTTCATAAAATCTCGTGAGCATTTTGATTATAAACATGAAAAGATTTGGAACATAGTTGTTGACCCGAAGTTGTCGGTACCCATGCTTTGCAAATCCTGCAATAGACCGCAATTTGCACGGCAGTTTACGAACCGGATGTTGATTTCGTTACGCGATTTTGAGTAGACTGTGCATACATTCTTCAGTCCAGCCAAAATATAACTTCATAATTCCAGCCGAGTTCGGCAAGGGTGGATACTGGACTATTATAGACAGTTAACTCCCTTGTCACGGGAACTACAGAATAACCAACTGTACATGACGGGGTACAGATACACAGTGCTGATAGGGTTATTAATTGTTTTATCAATTCGTTGTTGGCAGATTGGATGAGGTGTCCTGGATCCTTGTTTATTGAGGCTTGTGTCACCTGACTTGAACTATTCTACTAGTTTTCGTTTGGTGAAGTCATGGAGATTGTGTGATAGGATTTGTGCAAGGATTTGTGCTAGGATTTGTGGTTTATCCCACATGATATCATGATTAGAAGAGTTGATGATGTGGTTTGAGATGGCTGACTTTCGGTCTGACATAGTGGTAGATGTTTTATGTTATTTATTCTGACGTTTACGGGACGGGAAGTTTCACCTGCTTAGGCGTTACCGCAGTCAATTTATTTTGAAGACAATACCTTCAGGTTCTTGTTGTTGTGAAGGATTCCTGCCACTTGCTTCCAAACATGCCAATCAAACTGGATAGTGATACTTGACAACAAATTAATAAGTGAGAAATCAGATACTTATGCTGCTGAGAAACATCCCTCCCTGCCTTCCGAATGAAAAGAAAGTTTTTAGCTGAAAAGGCTTGAAGTAGGAAAAGTAAGTTCACAGGGGAGGCTGGACAGTGGAGTGCGTTCGGGCGCCTGGTTTCAATTCTGTGTTTAAGATTCGGAACAAAGTAGGAATTTGCACATTGTGTCAGCAGGATAAGTATCTAATATCATTAATATTAGATTGTCGAACATGTTTGTGTACCAGTGATTGATATTGTAAGCAAAGATCCTCTCCATCAGGGTAAGGTGACACACAATCAACCAAGTCACTGAGTCTGACCACCCACTTAATTGAGTCTCTTACGACCATCATAGGGTGCTGGGGACCTATAATCAGTTATTCTGACTCAGAATCGGAATTATTAGAAACAGATTGGCAATTCTCTGGTACAACATATAGTCATATACGGATATTTACATTCAATTACAGCATGAAAGGGTGTAAATGTTCGTCTGATGCTATAAAATATATTTAGAATGTAAAAACATGTTTATGTTCCAAGTAAGTGCAGATGTTTACTGGTCTGTCCCAATTTACATTGTCCTCGTCACATCCTGGTGTGAGGACAGGTGGCCCAGTCATCAAAGGCGCCGTCATTCGCTGGGCAGAGTTGTGTTCCTTTAGGCGTATCGGAGACCTTTGATCCATGGTTCGAATCTTGCTATGTGTCTTGGTTTGTCAACACCATACTCGCGCTCATGGATTTTACCAGTGTGGTAAAAGTCTAAGGCCTGCATTAGTTCGGTCTTTCTATTACATCAAACTGACTTTAATACTTTTCAAAGCCGCGTTAAACCAAATCACTTAAATACTCCTGGTGTATCTGTGTAGAGTAGCGTGTTTAAGTAGTTGATCCAGCCGATGGAATAACAATCAACATTTCAGTTGCCGATAAAGCAAATAACATGTTTTGTGTTTTTTGAAAAAAAATGTTTCAGACAGAATAGGGATTCGGTCAAAACTTCACATGTAATTCCCTACATCCAGCATCCCATACGAACAACTGGTTTTGTTTCTAAAACATGAGACAGTTTGGTTTCGGTAAATTCTCAATAACATTTTATTAGCAACCAAAGTTATTCGGGCGTACATTTGAGAGCCCTGGCGAGAATAGTAGCAAACCCTTTTGGGCCAAGGATGCATTTAACGGTGACTACTTGGTCATTAAGGCTGAACCAGAAGGTGACCACCTCACTGGGAGCACCGGTTATGCGGATACTGACATCAGTGTCCATTCTGATCCACACAACTCTCTGTGGAGACATCGGTACCCACTTGTCCAGTTCGCCCAGGACGACCACAACCGTGCTGGAAAAATGATATGAAACACTTCTATTACACACGTTATTCATGACAGGTATCGTGCACTCAACAACGCTGGACAGCCAACACTAAACAACACTGGGCATCCAACACTAAACAACACTGGACATCCAACACTCATCAGCACTGGACATCCAACGCTCATCAGCACTGGGCATCCAACACTCATCAGCACTGGACAGCCAACACTAAACAACACTGGGCATCCAACACTCATCAGCACTGGGCATCCAACACTCATCAGCACTGGACATCCAACACTCATCAGCACTGGACATCCAACACTCATCAGCACTGGGCATCCAACACTCATCAGCACTGGACATCTAACACTCATCAGCACTGGACATCCAACACTCATCAGCACTGGACATCCAACACTCATCAGAACTGGGCATCCAGCACGCACCAACACTGGGCATCCAACACTCATCAGCACTGGACATCCAACACTCATCAGCACTGGGCATCCAACACTCATCAGCACTGGACATCCAACACTCATCAGAACTGGGCATCCAGCACGCACCAACACTGGGCATCCAACACTCAACAACACTGGACATCCAACACTCATCAGCACTGGGCATCCAACACTCATCAGCACTGGACATCCAACACTCATCAGAACTGGGCATCCAGCACTCAACAACACTGGACATCCAACACTCAACAACACTGGATATCCAACACTCATCAGCACTGGACATCCAACACTCATCAGCACTGGGCATCCAGAATTACACAGCACAGGGCATCCAACACTCAACAACACTGGGCATCCAACACTCAACAACACTGGACATCCAACACTCATCAGCACGGGGCATCCAGAATTACACAACACAGGACATCCAACACTCAACAACACTGGGCATCCAACACTCATCAGCACGAGGCATTCAGAATTACACAACACTGGGCATCCAACACTCAACAACACTGGGCATCCAACACTCATCAGCACGGGGCATTTAGAATTACACAACACAGGGCATCCAACACTCAACAACACTGGGCATCCAGCACGCACCAACACTGGGCATCCAACACTCATCAGCACTGGGCATCCAGCACGCACCAACACTGGGCATCCAACACTCATCAGCACAGGGCATCCAGCACGCACCAACACTGGGCATCCAACAGTCAACAACACTGGGCATCCAACACTCAACAACACAAACGTGATCACATGCTAACCTCCTATATATTAAACAGACCTCAAATCAATGCACCGCCAACATTGTACCATAGGATAAAATTCCTACAATACTGAAAAACATGTCTAATTTCCAAACCCTTTTTTAATGAGATGCTTTATTCGACTTACTTGTCGCCCATGGCTATAGTAGGCGAGGTGTAGTGTAGGCAGTAGGCAACTGTTGAGCAGCCAGACAGAACCAGGGGGGTGTCATCAGTGAATATATCGATGCTGCTTGTACTGCTGTGTGAAAACACTCTGCTGGTCGGAAACTGCAGAAAAGAAAAACAATAATTTTACAAAAAACAATTATTTACTTTTTCCGTATTACTGTCTCAAGATACCTTAAGAGTTAAACTGTAGTTGTGTATCAACCGCAAGTGTTTATTACCTGAAGTTTACCAGTTATCAGTTAATGTGAATCAGCTGTCGTGGCCAATTTACCTGTAGTTGTGTTACCAGCAATTGGCAATTCCTTGTACTGGATCATCTTATGCAGTTGTGTATCAACCGTATTTGTGTATCACCTGTAGATTAATGCATGTAGATGTGCATGACCTTTGGTTGTGATTTACCTGTGGTAACTGTTGAAATCCTGCATCAGTTGGGGTTATCGTGTATCCTGCAAGGAGGTCGGCGGCCAGTATGATACCAAATTTCCACATTCCACCAAAGTCAGAATATGTTGTGTACACCTCCCCAGATGGGCCGTTGAAGTCAGCGCCAAACGCAAGCTGCAGTATAAATATGAATACTACGCCCTCCCCATTTGTACCAGTAAATCATTACCATAGAGCAGCAGGAAATACGTTTTAGAGTCATGTACTTTTTATTACTGTCATCTATAAAGCATCTGGCGCATGAAAACATAGCGTGGGAAGCCCTGTACATTGTCGTAGTAAGGTTTGGGGTATAATATTGATATATACTCTTCAAAATGTGAGACGCAATACGGATATTTTTGGCCATAAAAGCAAAATTAGCGGAGCAAGGGGTGCAAAATGAAGAGATTCATATTATTTAAGTGTCAGTGACAAATTTCCCGGATGAAAATGATCACAACAACATGAAAACCATTAGTCGGGAAACACCTACGATTCGGAAAAACGCCCCCAGTGCGTTAACAAAAGGACCTTGAGCTTCACGTTCTGTGCGTGCGGCAGCACAATGAACAGTATTAAAGTGACAGTTCAACAAAACTCAAAACCCGTCTTTTTACATTGTTGTTTGTGTCACGTTTTTCGACTTAAGCATGTCTCACATTCATTACCCGGGTCTTTTAGGATTGGCATCATTTCAACAGGGATAATTATCTATTAGTCCTAGCTTGTAGTCTATTGCAAAGTCTATATGTCGAACAAACAACAGAAATGTGGGATTGTCCCCGAGACTTACGTTCAGTGAGCACAGGCCTTTACTGTTAGCGAGACGCCTATACATAGTGTCTATGACACCATAATCTATTGTTTTCGACAGTGTGTTGACATGACGTCTTCGCAAACAAAAGTGTGTGAGACAATCAGCACGAAGCAAACATTATCATGCTCTTCAGAATTTCTGAAAATGGATTTGGACGATATTCTCGCTCCTTTATATAGAAGATAACTGATGCTGGGTCGTGAGTTACCCTTCGTATTTGGTTGTCTATGGCTGTGGCAGGCTTGGATGGTTTCAGTATCTTCCCGTCGGCATTGACACTCCTGCAAAACAACAAGGTACAGGCATCACACCCTTTGATTAACAAAAAATAAACGACAAAACCTTTTCAATCATAAAAGATATTAAACGTCAATCCAAAAGAATAGCCAATGCCGGCTGTCCAACGAAACAGATTCCATTCGGCGTGAAGGGCAATTGTACGATTCCGACTACATCATAGGCATGTGTTCATGAATCTCTACCAAATAGTGATGATACCAGGTGGTCGCGAAAAGGTCAGCTTATCATAACCCGCAGGTGGCACTGTCAAAAACACAAGAAAAGGCATGTTCACCTAAAAAAAAATGGTAATTGCTTTGGACATCATTTTTATCACTGATGCGTCAAATTGGGATATGACCTCCACGTGTCTACCATAGGAGGTCTGTAAAACTTTACTAAGGCCTTGAGACCGTCTCCGTGGTCTAGTGGTAGAGCGTCCGCCCGGAGAGCGGAAGGTCCGTGGTTCGATCCCCGACCGCGTCATACCAAAAGACGTTAAAAGATGGTACTTGTTGTTACCCTGTCTGGCGCTCGGCATTAAGGGGCAAAAACAAGGACTGGTCGGCTCGGAGTCAGTATACTGTGTCTGAGTGGGGTATTCATGTTAAAACTGCGGCATGGTATCTCATTGTGCTAGGACTATAAATCGGCATCAGTCCGGACTAGTACAAGCAGCCACACAAACACACACACGTACATGCACGTCGCTATATAAGTGCAATAATCTTGGACGCGACGTTAAACCCTGTTTCAACTCACCTTACTAAGGCCTTGAATGTTGAAACTATTTTGGAGCAAGAATCGTATTAAAAACAAAATCGTATTTCAACGCAATCCTTGCCTTTTGTTATTTAGGTGGGTGCCATTAATTTAATTCCAACATTGACGAGTGTTACTGTGATCCAGTTTCATATACTAATGTATGACATGGGAAATTTTAGAAGCACATAATTGACACTTCTTTTTTCTTTGAAGTTGTAAGTGTACAATTAATAAACATATTGATGAATATTAATATACATAGAAATGAACAAATTCATTCTAAAGGCATTAATGCATAGCTTTCTCATCAAGCAAAGCGTTTTTTAATCATATTGCACTTTCAGTGCAGTATCAATATTACATTGTGAACTAACACAGTCTTAACACAAAAGGTTACACGTGCATATAGACTGCCGGACAAAAGAAAGTGTACTCCCATGTTTCATGGTGACTTAAATGAAACAAACAAGAAATAGTTATTCGATATTGATGTACGGGTATCAAAGTGTGATTTAAACCTTCAAGCTATCGTGTTTCGGCAGTTTTCTGCCCAGTAACGTTATAATAACGTTTGTAATCTTAATCTTGCATCGCAACCAGAGGTGGACACACACGCTATTGATTTGTAAATTGACATTTTGGCATGTTCATGTATTTTTTATGAAATCACGCATTTTCTAAAATCAGTATGGCAAATTGAACCATTTGAACACTTACAGGAGTCTTTTATCTGTTGCAAACCGAAATTGTTTCAGATTTGGTAAAAAACTTATCTTTGCATTAAATTTTATTCAATGTCACAGGAACCTTTGTTGTTCAGTATATATACTTTCTTTGGCCCGCCAGTTAACACTGAACACAAAGTGTACATCACAGAACGAAGACCACATTTGGTGAGTCTGATGTCGAAGATGCAAGCATAGTAAATGCCATGAGACATCATGCTTAAATGATATAAAGTTTCGAACGTTGTCTGGTTCCATCCCCGAGATGTTCTGGCTTCTGAGGGATGCAACCCAACTCACTTTTCAGATTTCCAGCTGCTGTGTTCTTGAACAGTGAGAGGGGTTCGATTCCCGACATGGGTACAATGTGTGGAGCCCATTTCTGGTGTCCCCCGCCCTGTTATTGCTAGATAATTGCTAAAAAGCGGCGTAAAACCATACTCACTCACTCATACAGTGAGACATGTTTTGAGTACGTGGGGCATATTGCTTACTTCATTATTATAGATGCGTTGAAGGCCCCTATCATGTCCCCAGGTCCGACAGGGCCAGTGCTAAGGGTTGCTATGAGGGCATTCAGCTCCGTGTTCGGTTCTGACGTTCCTCCTGAAAAGATGAATATCTATGTGTGTCTGTCATCGTGACTGGGTGAGTAACTTCAAACAAAACCCACGATAAAGTCTAACAGAAGACTTACAGGATAACACAAACGTTGTGATAAAATAAATGTATTGATAAATAGTAATTGATTTAAAAAATGATAATTGCTATATAAGTGCAATAATCTTGGACGTAACGTTTAACCCCATTTACACACCAGACATATCAGGGTAGTGGGATACCCTTTTAATGAGTACCTGTCTTCAATTGCAAAGTCACACCTGAAATCCCCCTTTTTACCTGTTGTGTTATTGCGAGTGAAAATATTTGATTTTTTCACCATAACTTGTGCAAAAAACACACACATTGTGTGTCAGAATTCGAATTTGAAACTTTGAATATGCTTAGTTTTAATTAATAAAATGAAAAATGTGTGTAAGGTCAAAGGGGTCCTAACTCAAAGCAAAAGTACATATCGATACACTTATAACTTCAAAGAGGAGAATACTTCTGAATATCCACAGTATCATGTACATATACTAGTATATTAAGATACGGATAACATTACCAGTCGTCATATGTTTTTCATAACACAAAACATATCCATTTGAGTACCGCCCCTGATGTTACCTAATAATAAATAGCAGAAAATAATCTTTGAAAAGTAATCATTCTACTTTTTGAAATATTGGAAAATGCGTCACATATTTCTTTAGCTTGGTGTCGTTTGTTTGTAATTCAGAAACAAAGACACTTTGTCAGAGTAAACAGGCTGCGCGTAATATGACATCACTTCATTTGAGGAATGTGACGGGAACTTGTCCATTTTCGTCTTACCAATATATTTATTTCCTGGCTGATATCGCGTTGTCCAGAAGGTGTCCTTATATGGCCTGATTCCCATGGCGTGAGCGAATATTGATGAGACGCCGATCTTCCATTGTTCCAAGCCTGGGTGATAATCCATACTAACTCGAGCCTTTGGAAAACCAACAGGTACAATGAAACATATTGCTTAGATGTGAACTAACACAAAACATCATTTTCTACTAGAATATGAATGATTTTAAAGATAAAAGAACGAGGCAATATTATACTGATGGACTGAATACTACACAAGGTATATAAGACATGCAGCTTTCAAAGATAAAAGAAACGAGGCAATATTATACTGATGACCTGAATACTACACAAGGAATATAAGACATGCAGCTTTCAAAGATAAAAGAACGAGGCAATATTATACTGATGACCTGAATACTACACAAGGTATATAAGACATGCAGCTTTCAAAGATAAAAGAAACGAGGCAATATTATACTGATGACCTGAATACTACACAAGGTATATAAGACATGCAGCTTTCAAAGATAAAAGAACGAGGCAATATTATATTGATGAAATGAATACTACACAAGGTATATAAGACATGCAGCTTTCAAAGATAAAAGAAACGAGGCAATGTTATACTGATGGACTGAATACTACACAAGGTATATAAGACATGCAGCTTTCAAAGATAAAAGAACGAGGCAATATTATACTGATGGACTGAATACTACACAAGGTATATAAGACATGCAGCTTTCAAAGATAAAAGAACGAGGCAATATTATACTGATGACCTGAATACTACACAAGGTATATAAGACATGCAGCTTTCAAAGATAAAAGAAACGAGGCAATATTATACTGATGACCTGAATACTACACAAGGTATATAAGACATGCAGCTTTCAAAGATAAAAGAACGAGGCAATATTATACTGATGGACTGAATACTACACAAGGTATATAAGACATGCAGCTTTCAAAGATAAAAGAACGAGGCAATATTATACTGATGGACTGAATACTACACAAGGTATATAAGACATGCAGCTTTCAAAGATAAAAGAAACGAGGCAATTAGCCTTGAAGGAGTTACAACTGAACGTGGCATCGGCATTATTCAGCCATGTAGTGAAAAAGGAAGATAGGGTCCCCGAAAGATAATGGTGTCAACTAACTTTTATATAATCTTCATGGGGTCTAGCAAAATTAACTCTGATGTTCCCAAGGCGAAATATTCTCCCATGGCGTCCTTTGTCGGCCATTTTTGTCGGCCATATTGGATTTCCGACGATGTACACCATCGTTCGGCACATAAACACATGAGACCATTTGTGTGTGTAATGTGGACATGAGAAAGCTTTTGAATGGTTATTTCCCTGAATAAATTAGTCTTCAATCAAGGTGGGGACATTTATTTTTACTTTAATTTTGTATGGCGTGAACGGGGATCGAGACACCGAACGTCTGTTACCCGGGCAGATACGCTATACACTAGACCACGGAGGCGGTCTTCGTGATAGGGGGTAAGTTTGGTTTAACTTCGCTCAAACTGTATTTCAGTTATGTCGCGGTGTGTAAGCTGGATATTGGGCGAGGGGCTCAGGGAAACCCACGAGTTTCATAGACATATGAAGGGGTCGAATCTGGCCCAACGATCGTAGGTTTCTGTACAGAGAGTTCCGACGCCTTAAACGACCGGGCCTATATCGCCCCTTCTCGATACAATACATCGAGTCATCGAAGATACTATGACGATAAAGAAAGAGTCAGCCAAGGCAGGGAATGCAGGTATGTGCTTGTGACCTCACCTGTGTGACAGACGGGATCTCCAATGCTTGTAATATATGTCTTGAGTTGGACATGCAGTACTGGATGGTCACGTTGTTGTCTATACCTGCCTGGCCCATCTGCTTTAGCCACCTCTCCCCCAGAGACACATTGGTCTGCAGAGCTTTGACGTTCACAAATTCATGGTTCAGCCAGTCCTGGGGAATATTTGAAAAACGATCTGCTCAGAGACTAACACCCGAGTGTTTTTTATGTCAAATATTTTAAACGAGTCGACAAAAGTTTATCCACGAGTGGTGATATTTTTTTATATCAAACGACATGAGGATAAGTTTCTGTTTATCATCCAAAATAATTCTTCCATCTTTTTAAGTTTGTAATCAGTAATATGATGTGCCGTTCGGGTAAAAAATACAGCTGACCAGCGTCAGTAGCAGTGAAATTAGGGATGCCATCTTGGTTACCGATGACGTCACAATGGTCTGCATAGCAGTGTGATAAGATCACACCGAAACAATATCTCCTGGGGAAGCCAGTTTTGGAGGATAATAGTAAAAAACTCAAAGGGTGAGTGGGGGGGGGGGGGGGGGGGGGGAGGGTGAGGAAGTGACCTGCCTTTGCATGTGTTTAAGATAGGTGTCACCGGAAGGGCAGAATACACTCATCTTTTCGCGAACATCTAGCTATATAGTACTATCACTATTTGATAGTGATTTCAAAAACACATGTTCATGATTTAGACGGCGTCGTGTTTGGGAATTAATAAATCCGTTCATGGGAACACCCAACAATGTGCTGGATGATATACAGACACCGATGTAAACAATTTGCCATGACATCGTGTTACAACTGAAGGTTTCTCGACATGGTTTTCACCACAGTTAATAATATAAACACTGATTGGAGGCGAGGGTGCCCACTACATACACTCATCTCACCTCTTTTTGAGGAACTATTTTATTCTACGATGCAGCTGCTTGTTGTATGGCTGTCAGTGTAAACATGAAGTCAAAGGCACTTAATAAAATTGTGTATAGATCTAGACCTACACCCTTCGATGTAAAACACACTGATAAAACAAAATTATAAGAATTTACTTTCACTTTGTGTGAGTTTATTGGAACCTTCACTCAATGAAGGTTGATACTCCAATTAAAGTGAAAGTCAATTCAAGGGATGCTAATGCTTATCATTTCTCTGTACGCGAACAGGTGATAGTAAATGTGAATATTGACAGCACTGAATGGTCGGACATGAGGGTCGGAATGTCTAATATACTTAACATTTGAGTGAGTGAGTGAGTGAGTGAGTGAGTGAGTGAGTGAGTGAGTTGTGTTTAACGCCGCCTTTAAAAGTTATTCGAGTTATATCACGGCGTGACAGCTCAATGTGAGAGGAAAGCCCGAAGTGATGCAGGTTTCAGACGTTTACCACTTCAGTGAAACCCACGAGCACGGGTATGGTGCTGACAAACCTAGAAATATAATCGGGGTGAACCGGGATTCGAACCAAAAACATAGGTTTCTGGCATGCCCAGGGGACGCAACTCTGCACAGCGAATTGCGGCGCCTTAGACGACTGGGCCACCCGTGCCCCCTGCCGGCACGATAAACTTGAGGGGAGAGATTCCCGAAGCTGTAAATGAACCTGTTGTTATCATTGATCGGTTGGCCGATCATTGAAAGGTGATTATAAAAATGTGTCAAATATATGCGAACAAAGATTGATGTAGACTGTCACTGTCAGTCTAGCTTGATCAGATGGGTCGTAGCAAGGGTGTTAGTTAACGACCATGTAGTTAAACTCTCGGACGTTTTTCATTGTGTGCTGAAACGATTCAAGGTTAAAGGGTCCAAACGATCAGGAATAACGCCGCTGTTTGTATTCGTGCTTGGGAATTCCCGGGGGTTCCCACGGGAATGTGGAAGTAGTCTGTCGGTTTTTTTACGTCAGTTCAGGAATACCGTGTCGTGAAAAAGTATGGATGTCAAATTGTGTCGTTCTACGCTTATGATGTCAGTTCCGTTGTCATGTGACCTGCCTTTCGTCCATGGAAAAGCCGTATATCGTGCAAAGTTCACATGATAAGCTTACACCCTTCTACCGTTTGCTTCCACCTACCTGTTCATAAGTAATCAAACCCCATTCTCGTCCTGACTTAAGGAGATCGTCCCAAAATGTCTGCGGATAAAAATAATTATAACATTTAGATACGTTAAGTGAGTGAGTGAGTGAGTTTGGTTTTACGCCGCTTTTAGCAATATTCCAGCGATATCACGGCGGGGGACACCAGAAATGGGCTTCTCACATTGTACCCATGTCGGGAATTGAACCCAGGTCTTCGGCGTGACGAGCGGACGCTTTAACCACTAGGCTATCCGACCGCCCCTAGATACGTTAAGGATTTTCCAACATATTTTGTCGTTTCCCACCGCCTTACATGGCGGAAATATTGATACAAGAGGCTTAATAGCCTACTCACTCACTGACATACCAAGTCCAATATTATAACACTTGCACATGTCCCTGCATGTTCTTTGTATTAATTATAATCTTGTAAACTACGGTTATAACGAACTCAAAGTTAGCACTATCTTTAGTTCGTTATAACCATAGTTCGCTATAAGCATATATACAGCACATCTAAAGCACATATACAGCAAATTGACAGGGTCAAAACACATTTCGTTATATCCGTCAGTTCGTTATAAGCGTGTTCGTTATAAACGTAGTTTACTATATGTCCATATCTTAATGATCTTACTACCTGATCGTCGGGGACAGCTCTTGATCCTTCGATAATAAAGTTGTACTTTCCACCATTCTGTTTTGCATAAGTGGTGTCTCCTGACCTAGTCGAATAGAAATAGCCCCATGCTGAGTCTGTGACCTTTGGTGACTCTTAGATAATACATTGCAAAACGATTATGAGTGTTTGGTTGATAAAAGGCACATACTTGTCTCTCCTCGCAAATAATAACAACAGCAACAACAACGTAATACTACTACTACTACTACTACTACTACTACTACTACTACTACTACTACTACCAATAATAATGATAATCTCAATGTCGGTGTTGATTTTGTTGATGGTTCTGCCCTGCTGAACGGTACAGAAATGAGTGTCAACCAAGCGAAGTGCCATATTAAGGCGGCCCAGACTCAGATTTTCAAGGAGAGGCTTTCTGAACGACCACTGCATCGAGTTTCCTTCACCCGGATGAAGTCGGCTGGCCTGAAAAATGAAGCAGAAGGCTTTCTGTTTGCTGCTCAGGACCAGTCACTCCCAAATCGAAACCGTCAATGTGTGATTTTGCATTAAAGGGGGATATGAAATTTAGATCATGTAAAGAGACTGTCCAACACATTGCGAGTGGATGCCCAGCTTTGGCACAGACACAGTATCTTAAACAACATGGTGAGGTGGCTCGATCATTTTATTACCGTCTTCGCCATGCTTGTGGTTTTGACACAGAGATCCATCCATGGTACGACCCGGAATATGTGGAAAAATCCTTTGGAATAGGCCCGTATACAGCCTTAGACGTATCCAGGCCAACAAACCTGATGGTGTCCTTTTTGATAAATCCAATGAAATCATTTATATCATTGAATCTTCTGCCCCTTTTGACACCAATGTGATTGACAAGATTGGGGAAAAACATGGCAAATATGCAGACCTCGCTTTCGAAATGTCACGCTTGCATCCCAAGTACCAAGTTGTCCGACTCCCCATTGTTCTCGGTGCCTTAGGTTTGGTACCTCTCAATCTGTTGACTGACATCGGGAGAGTACCCGGGTTTGCTGCCAGGAATACGGCCCTTCTGACAATCTGGGTATTGCAGAAGGCTGCAGTGTTGGGGAGTCTCCACATTTTGCGAAAAGTTCTGGGTGGGTTTGACGCTTTGGGCGCTTCCTGGGAGAAGTCGCATTCGGTGTCTGGGCTGCGTGTAGAGGGGGCAAGGGCCCTGAGCTGATGATGAGCCTAACCAGCCTAACTGTGCTGCATTTTCTATTTTAATCTGCAACTACTACTACTACTACTACTACTACTACTACTACTACTACTGTCCATGGACCAAAATGTGGTCAATGCGTTGCGTGCCATCAGTCTATGTTCGTCTGTTCGAGTTTTGACCAAATGTTTCTAGGTTTGTAAGTACCACACTGAAGCTTGAGGGATTTCACAAAACGTACGCATTTCTCCCAGCTTTCCTACCACGTCAAGTTGACACACCATGATAACTGAAATACTGTTCAAAGCGGCGTAAATGCAAACTCACTCACCAAATCACTTACCAAAATTTATTGTGGGCTGACACCGGTAATCCAGTTTTATTGTACACCCATCTACAAAAAACCCATTCATTTGATAATTAGGAGCCAACATATTGAGCATGAAAATGAATTCTCAGCAGTCGTTATGGAGGGGTTGATAATGAGAAATAAAAGTATTCAGCAAACGTCTTTGGGGAGAACAGTTCAGGTGCATTTGGAATGAACCAGGTTATGCTCACAATGACTGCTACTTGTCACGTATTGCACGGGGACACGGGTGGCCCAGTCGTCTAAGGCGAGTTGTGCAGAGTTGCGTCCCTTGGACATGCTAGAAACCTATGATTGTGGGTTCGAATCCCGGTTCGACCCGATTATGTTTCTAGATTTGTCAGCACCATACCCGCGCTCGTCGGTTTCACCGAAGTGGCAAACGTCTGAGAACTGCATCACTTCGGGCTTTCCTCCCACATTATGCTGACACGTCCTTATATAACTGTAATACTGTTAAAAGCGGCGTTAAACCAAACTCACTCACTCACTCATGTATTGCACGTGTATGGGCTAAACCAGTGATCGCGATAAAAGTTTTGGGGTCGCCTTTTTCCATAACCTTTATTCCTGCACGTGTCATTGCCCTTGACAATCGCCGTCCATTGGTCCAGCTTCATAAAAGCGTCTAATCAGTGTGACAAAAGCCAAAACAACACGTTCTTCACCCGTTAATCACATTGTCAACCAACATTCAATAACGACGCTGAGTGTATCTAGATTATGCAGGTGATGGAAGGGTGTATATTGCAAAGTATTGAGGTGTTGGCTGGTGAAATTGGTCATCTAAAACAGGCGTTAATAGAAAACGTAAATGCCAGAGAATCACCAATCCGACGACAAAGGTTCCTTTCGGCGAAAAGGTTAAACAACGGTGATGTTTGTTCACTGGATCAGTGAAACTTACACTGGACAAAATATTTCTACCCCACAACTTTTCAATCTATCTTCATTGAATAAAGTTATTTCCGACCAAACATATATGTGAAGACATCCCAGAACAAAATGTATGGGTGCTTGTGACCGCCAACTCTGGGCAACTTCTGTTATCTTTTAATACAAATTGGAGTTAAATTGTGGTTATTGAGATAAATAAATATGGGTATTTTATTTTTACATACTCTTGTTATTGAATATCAGTAGGATTATATTTATATGCTCCGTTAGTGTCGTCGTACAGTTACCTGACACACACGGGGGCACGGGTGGCCCAGTGGTCTAAGGCGCCGCGATTCGCTGTGCAGAGTTGCGTCCCTTGGGCACGCCAGAAACCTATGATTGTGGGTTCGAATCCCGGTTCGCCCCGATTATGTTTCTAGGTTTGTCAGCACCATACCCGTGCTCGTGGGTTTCACCGAAGTGGTAAACATCTAAGACCTGCATCACTTCGGGCTTTCCTCCCACATTAAGCTGACACGCCGTAATATAACAAGAATACTGTTAAAAGCGGCGTAAAACCCAACTCACTCACATAGGAGGGACTGAAAAGCTTGAGGTAATCCCGCTGGGGCTGCTAATTGGCAAGCGGCCAGCCTCCTTTAATATACATCTTGTTGCTTGATAACTTACTGCATCCCATGGGGAAATACGTCAGGGCGGCCTACCCATGTCTTTACACCGTCCCCCAGTCCTTTGAAGTACCACCATGAATCATACTGTATGTATCTGGAAGATTTCAAATAACCTTTATGTTTATAGCAAAGTACAGATGAAATAAGATTAATATAATTTCTCCAATGGATTTATGTCGCCTCTGACGACCGTCATAGTATGCTAGGGATAAATTGTATCCCGGAATCCCGACGTTGATTCTGACGTTGGGGTTTCCATAACGTAAAAAACGTCATCGACCAACATGTATATGTTATACGAGCTGACACTCAATGATAAAACATATAAATTGTCAAGGCAAGAGGATAACCAGCCTATATTCTGCCGAGACAGATTCTACTTGGCGTAAAGGGCAAATAGCTGTGGTTGGTTTTGGTTGGTTGGTTTGTTGTTTAACGCCGCACTCACAATATTCCAGCTATAGGACGGCGGTCTGTAAATAATCGAGTCTGGACCAGACAATCCAGTTATTAATATCATGAGCATCGATCCACGCAATTGGGATCGATGACATGCATCAAGAAAGTCAGCGAGCCTGACCACCCGATCCCGTTAGTCGCCTTTTACGACAAGCATAGTCGCTTTTCACGGGAATAGCTGTGGAAATTATATAAAAGGACATGAAAATCAGGTAAAATGGTAAGTATGTCCTGTCCTTTTGGTGGCAGCCGCCATTCATACAATTTGCATGAAAAAGTAGGTATTTATTGCCTGACGCAGCACAGCTGTGCTCCTGCCTTGCGACGTCAGCCTCTAAACAAACCAGACAATCAAATGATTGATGAACCAAAACATCCAGGAGCACGACTTTGCTTGTTTGTTTGTATCTTGTTTCAACAATATTTCAACAGTATGACTGCGGTCTGTTAATAAACGAATCTGACCATCCGATCCCGTTAGTCGCCTCTGACAAGCACAGTCGCCATATACGACAAGCATGGGTTGCTGAAGACCTTTTCTACCCCGGATCTTCACGGGTCCAGTCACACGAGTATCATTACTGATTTTGTTTAACCTAATAAAAAAACGAGTGTTAATTTTTATTTATTATTCTGTGCTAATTGAACTGTTGTAATGTTAATTGAATTGAATTGTGAATTGAAGTGTTAATTTTTCATTTTGATTTTGATATTAATTTTGAAAAGGTAACACTTTAGTAATTTCGTAATCCAAACTGGATGGCTCATTATCGTGTACCTCACGAACGTTCGAATGTCATGTTTCTCTAGTCTTTACATGTACTTACTTGAATGGGATGCCTGTTTGTGGAAAATATGAAACGATGTCAAGCATTGTATCTTCATAGTTCTTCCCGGGCACAGTGTTGTAATAGTAGTAGGCCCCTGTGTAAACATAGGAATAGTCACAGGTAAATTGTGTTAAAACATCTACTTATGTACATTTACGGGTATGTTATCACAAATGTGAATTTTACGACAGTTCTACATCTTTTTTTAAAATAAATAGATAAACAGGGCTAAACAACATATTCATAAAATGTAAAGGGTGCTCTTATAGTCGTGATATGCTTGTTGTAAGAAGCGACTAAGGCAATCGGGTGGTCAGGCTCGATGACTTGGTTTGAAGCATGTCATCGATCCCAATTGCGTGGATCGATGCTCATGATATCAATCACTGGATTGTCTGGTCCAGATTCGATTATTTACAGACCGCCGTCAGATAGCTGGAATATTGTGAGTGCAAACACACAAACAAACAAATGATAGTCGTGAGGTTATTATGGTTGTCAATCGAGAGAGACGTGTTTATGGCCTTACAGTCACAATGAAGGAGCGGTTTGGTTGGAAGTCTAGTTATGAAAGTGTTCGCTCGTTACGCCAAAGGCCTGGGTTCAGTTCCCAATATGGTGCATTATGTGAAGCTCATTTTGGATGTCCTCCGTCGTGATGTTGCGTCTGATATTGTTCACATCGGTGTGAAACCAACCCACCCTCCCATGCACAAATGACGAAACCCATTGTCTACATTCACAAAGACGGTACTAATAATACTTTCTCCATTGTGTGTGTTGTACCGTTATCCGTCTGATAGTGTACTGGCGATGGGGTGTGTTGTACCGTTATCCGTCTGATAGTGTACTGGCGATGGTGCGTGTTGTACCGTTATCAGTCCAATAGTGTACTGGCGATGGGGTGTGTTGTACCGTTATCAGTCCAAAAGTGTACTGGCGATGGTGCGTGTTGTACCGTTATCCGTCTGATAGTGTACTGGCGATGGGGTGTGTTGTACCGTTATCAGTCCAATAGTGTACTGGCGATGGGGTGTGTTGTACCGTTATCAGTCTGATAGTGTACTGGCGATGGTGCGTGTTGTACCGTTATCCGTCTGATAGTGTACTGGCGATGGTGTGTGTTGTACCGTTATCAGTCCAATAGTGTACTGGCGATGGGGTGTGTTGTACCGTTATCCGTCTGATAGTGTACTGGCGATGGGGTGTGTTGTACCGTTATCAGTCTGATAGTGTACTGGCGATGGTGCGTGTTGTACCGTTATCAGTCTGATAGTGTACTGGCGATGGGGTGTGTTGTATCGTTATCAGTCCAATAGTGTACTGGCGATGGGGTGTGTTGTACCGTTATCAGTCTGATAGTGTACTGGCGATGGGGTGTGTTGTACCGTTATCAGTCCAATAGTGTACTGGCGATGGTGTGTGTTGTACCGTTATCAGTCTGATAGTGTACTGGCGATGGGGTGTGTTGTACCGTTATCAGTCCAATAGTGTACTGGCGATGGGGTGTGTTGTACCGTTATCAGTCCAATAGTGTACTGGCGATGGTGTGTGTTGTACCGTTATCAGTCCAATAGTGTACTGGCGATGGTGTGTGTTGTACCGTTATCAGTCCAATAGTGTACTGGCGATGGGGTGTGTTGTACCGTTATCAGTCCAATAGTGTACTGGCGATGGTGTGTGTTGTACCGTTATCAGTCCAATAGTGTACTGGCGATGGTGTGTGTTGTACCGTTATCAGTCCAATAGTGTACTGGCGATGGTGTGTGTTGTACCGTTATCAGCCCAATAGTGTACTGGCGATGGTGTGTGTTGTACCGTTATCAGTCCAATAGTGTACTGGCGATGGTGTGTGTTGTATCGTTATCAGCCCAATAGTGGACTGGCGATGGGGTGTGTGGTACCGTTATCAGTCCAATAGTGGACTGGCGATTGGGTGTGTGGTATCGTTATCAGTCCAATAGTGTACTGGCGATAGGGTGTGTTGTACCGTTATCAGTCCAATAGTGGACTGGCGATGGGGTGTGTTGTATCGTTATCAGTCCAATAGTGGACTGGCGATTGGGTGTGTGGTATCGTTATCAGTCCAATAGTGTACTGGCGATAGGGTGTGTTGTACCATTATCAGTCTAATAGTGTACTTGCGATAGGGTGTGTTGTACCATTATCACTCCAATAGTTGACTGGCGATGGGATGTGTGGTACCGTTATCAGTCCAATAGCCGATGTAGTTTACTGTGAGGTCAGACTTCACATAGCGGTCATCACGCCCGTAGTAGTGTTGCAGGAACGTGCCCCAGTCTTCCAAGGCCTGTGTTTCCATACAAAGATAACAGTACACTGTTGATATCAATGATTGGTGCACGAACGAGTGAGATAGATTTGACGATGATTTGAAAATTATTTCATTCATATATATCAGAACATGTCCACTCAGTGTTAAAGGGAAGTGCACAATGTCCCAAATCGGAGACGTTCATTTCTGTGATGTGTCTCAAAGGTCACATTATATAACATTACACTAATGGCATGACTTATTTGCATATCACGTGATTGGAATTGTCTCTTGTTTGTAAACAAACGCGCTTATTCTGAAATTAGAACAGAGAGGCAATTGAAAGCCTTTCAATGCGTTTTGCAGATTGTTTTGCTTTATGCTAGAGATATGCCACTTCTACCGCGACAGTGAGGAGTATGATCAAATATTTTTTCATATAAACGTGACCGTATCGATAATTCTCAATTGTGTTTTGATGTCTGCACGTACAACCATTGTAAGCAAAGGATAAATACGCAAATCCATATTTTCCTTTACAATTTCATAACATATTTTTGTCAACGTAAACAATGAACAACAAATGTGATGATTTGTGTGGTACAGGAAATAATTATTCGTCGATAAATAACCCAGAACATTTGCATCTACCACACGTATGATCAAGTTGGTAAACCAAGTTTCAATTCTATTTCAATCATAGAAATTTACAAATTCAAATTTTGGAAAAGAAAATTGGATAATAAAGATTATTGAGATAAACGTGTTCGTTTGTCACGCCGGATTCAATTCCAGAAACGTTTGCAGTTTGATGAGACTATGTTTGCAGCCTCTGGAGGGATACAGCTGGATATTGCTGAAGCAGCGGAATTGAAAACCCACTCGATCACTGAAGGGTCGTTATATTATTAAATACCTTGTTAATCCCCTGGCCCCCGCAATAGGCGATGGTCATCATTTCAAAGTCTTGGGGTACGTCGTCAACAGATCCTAGAAGTCCCCAGTGCGCTGCGCCCTGGACATTTAGCACTGACTTGTGCCACATCGATGCAATCATGAACTTACTGGCTGGAGAGATGACGAAAGTCGTGGCTGTTTGGTTTTTGTCAAATATTGCCAGAGGCCCATCTGTGATGCCCTGGTTATAATCAGTCATGACCTCTCCCCATCTGAAATAAAGTTCATCTCAAAGTATTCACTGAAATTCAAAACAGTTCTAATTGTTATATATGCAAAGTAGGCCGTTTTCTTAAGCTTTAGGTTGATAAAAGAATTGGTTTGTGTAATTGTCATAAGATGAGTGAGGTGAAATGGGGTTTAACGTCGCGTCCAAGATAATTGCACTTATATAGCGACGTGCATGTACGTGGGTGTTTGTGTGGCTGCTTGTACTAGTCCGGACTGATGCCGATTTATAGTGCTAGCTCACTGAGATACCATGCCGCAGTTTAACATGAACACCCCACTCAGATACAGTATTCTGACTCCAAGCTGACCAGTCCTTGTTTAAGTCCCTTAAAGCCGAGCGCCAGACAGGGTAACAACAAGTACCATCATTTAACGTCGTTTTGTATGACACGGCCGTCGGGCGGACGCTCAACCACTAGACCACGGAGGCGGTCTTTTCATGAGGTATGATATATAGTTCAGTTACGCAATACCAACTTCCCGAACTTCCTCCTCGTGTCCCCGGTCATCATGCCACCGTACGACAGGTAACCAAGGCCAATATCGGACTTGTCAACCACCTGGAAACTCGGGAACCCGGAAATTGTCTCATCTCTAAGCGTGGCACTTGCGTCATGCACGTCGTCCAGGTATTTCTGTAGAAAGTGAGAGTGAGTGAATGAGTTGGGGTTAACACCACTTGACGCAGTATTCCAGTTACATAACGGCGTGTCAGCTTAATGTGGGAGGAAAGCCTGAAATTATGCAAATCTTTGGCGTTTACCGCTTTTGCCAAACCCACGAGCACCTGTATAGTGCTGACAAAAACTAGAAACATGACAGGGGCGAACCAAGATTCGAACCCACGATCATAAGATCATGGTGTGCACAAGAGACGCCACTTCAGGCGCTTGCCCTTACATATATGTAGAGACATCATCTGAATATGACTATATATGTAAATGTTACGATACTGTACCCTTCTTCACGAACTATTAAAACATGGGCATAAGGTCACGGAGACGAAGGCTATATATACTATATCATATTCGAATTTTTAGATGATAAAGTACATTATTTGATATAATCGATTTGCGATATCAGTAAACATTTCATGATATAATAAAATCAAATCTGTGATATAAATTCATTCTTTGGTATCCATAAATGAATTATTGAAATCAAATAAGGAATAAATAGTCAAAAGGCGTCACGACACGATTGCATCACGGTTATAATGTTAATTGCTAGTCTTGTTGCTGCATCATAATTTCTTACACCATGAGTGGGTGAGTATGGTGTTACGCCGCTTTTAGCAATATTCCAGCAATATCACGGCGGGGGACACCAGAAATGGGCTTCACACATTGTACCCATGTCGGGAATCGAACCTGGGTCGTCGGCGTGACGAGAACGCTTTAACCACTAGGATACCCGACCGCCCTCTAACCATGAACAACTGTTAAAAATGAATATTGAACTATATGAATTTATAATTAACCATGAAATAATATCAACCCGACCTGCGTTTATTATTCTCTCTGTAACTATTATCGTTAACATGTGTCTACTTTTAAGTGTATATATTTATACCATACATCTACCTGTTTAAACAGCACCAGTGGGTAAATCGGCTGTATGTAATACATGACGCTTGTCTGCATCTGATGGGATCCTGCCTTGTACAGAAAGTCCACAGAATTCCATTGACCCATTCTATCCACGCCGCTCCTATTGGTGACGCTGATTAGGGTGAGCGTGCCCTCCTCCACTGAGAACATCCGGCCATCAGCCCTGAAGAACGTGCTCTCGCTGAACAACCAGGGCCGTCCATTGATATTTAGGTTATAGTCGTCATCATCCGTTATCGTCAAAGACAAGTCGGGGGATTTTGAAATCGGTATTGTGCGAGAAGCTGTAATAGAATACATTATAGCTAAAATGGATAGAATTATCATTAAACCGCCCGCACGTTATTAGAAATAAGCGGGCCACTGTAACTTGATTATGCCCTCATATTGCTTGACGACGGGCCATTATCAAGCCCGTTGTTCGGTGACGTCATAGGGTAGAGAAAATGACGTCACGTATTATAGTGACGTCATCTGGTTTGTTCTATGACGTTTCCATATTTGTAAAATGTGGTCAGTGACATTCGATTGCAGTAAATGTTTCAAAACTGATATTGTTGTTCTTTTAATTTGATAACAAATTCCATCCATTTTAGCTATAATAACGGTAACGCTCTCTTTCAGGGCATTATCACTGGCAGAAGCCCTCGTTCTTTTCAACTGCCCTCCTTCGTCGGGCAGTTAATGGAAGACCTCAGGCTTCTGCAAATGATAATGCCCTGAAAAATAGCGTTACCCTTATATTAGCAAGTTATTGAAACATTCTATGTGTAAGGGGCGTTATACTCGTTTCGCGGTTTCTGGAAAAAGAACGCAGTCCAAACAGTAAGTTAAACGTACGTTGTCGAGTCTTTTGTAACACAGCATGTGTATTTGTTGCTCCGAATGAGTGAAAAATAGTTCGCGGAACCCCCACCCCCACCACCAACAACAATAACATAAATAACAGACTGAATAATAATAATCTGAACGATCACTGGGTATGTGTTTTCAGAAGATCAGCAACCCCGCAGAGTCCTTCGCTTGGATGAAGTCGAGCGGCCTGCGAAGTGAAACAGAGGGTTTTCTGTTTACTGCTCAATACCAGTCACTTCCCACTCGAAACCGTCAATGTGTGATTTTTCATCAAAATGTAAATATGAAATGGAGATGCAATGAATTACATTGTCAGTGGATGCCCCGCTTTGGCACAAACATTGTATCTTAACCGACATGATGAAGTGGCTCGATCATTTTATTACCGTCTTCGCCATGCTTGTGGTTTTGACACAGAGGTCCATCCATGGTACGACCCGGAATATGTGGAGGGCGTCATGGATAATGATCAATACAAAATTCGTTCGAATAGGCCCGTATACAGCCTTAGACATATCCACGCCAACAAACCTGATCTTGTCTTTTTTAATAAATCCAATGAAATCATTTATTTTATTGAATTTTCTGTCCCTTTTGACAGTAATGTGATTGACAAGATTGACGAAAAACTTGGCAAATATTAAGACCTCGCTTTCGAAATGTCATGCTTGTATCCAAAGTACCAAGTTGTCCGACTCCCCATTGTTCTCGGTGCCTTAGGTTTGGTACCCCCCAATCTGTTGACTGACATTGGGAGAGTACCCGGGTTTGCTACCAGGAATACAGCCCTTCTGACAATCTGGGTAATGCAGAAGGCTGCAGTGTTGAGGAGTCTCCACATTTTGCGAAAAGTTCTGGGTGGGTTTGACTAGGCAGCGCTTCCTGGGAGAAGTCCCATTCGATGTCTGGGCTGCGTGAAGAGGGGACAAGGGCCCCGAGCTGATGATGAGTCTAACAAGCCTGACTGTGCCAGGATCACCCAAATACTCTTTGCTGCATTTTTTAGTTTAATCTGTAAATAATACTACTACTACTACTAATAATAATAGCAACAACAATCATTAGTGTTTCAGTTTCAGTAATTACAGTAAACTACGTTTATAACGAACACGCTTATAACGAACTGACGGATATAGCGAACTAATTTTTAGTCCCGACCATTTGTTGTATATATGATGTATGTATGCTTATAACGAACTACGGTTATTACGAACTAAAATTAGTGGTCCCCTCGAGTTCGTTATAACCGTAGTTTACAGTTCCTCTTTTGTGCTCGCCCTGACACTGATCATTGTCTCCCGACTTGTGATTCTTTACCCTGCCAAAGTGAAACGTATACGACATGCATCACTTTGACTTTTGTTCCACGTTGCGTAAAAATTAGCCAATGTGTCTAGGATAATCACGTACACTTGACGATGTAGGACTGACTCCCCTTTCTCAGCCTCTGTGCATTTCACATTTCTGGCAAATAGGTTTGTGTCGTCATTTGTTATAGAAATAACCATGCAGCATTATCACTTACCCAGTACGTAGCTGTCGACTGCGGTAATAAGAAGTATCGTTCGTAGAATAATGTGTCGGTAGGCGTCCATCTTGGCAAACCGTGGCATGTCATGTGTACACGGGTTATCAGAAGCCTGTCATTGATTGAGTCTTGACTGATACAGACCCTCTGAGGGCAGATCATGTCAAGAAGATGATACATGTCTGTGTAGCGTTATCAAAAGTGTTAACAGATAAACTTTATCACGTCGAGCAAGAAATATGAACTTTGTCCAGTAAGTATGTATAGCTGACTTCGTTGATCTAACGGTTATTAAAGGCACTTAGGACGCCCATCCATGTGAGCAGTTGGGACAACATTCAAGGCCTCAGCAAAGCTTTAAAAACATTTTATAGTAGACATTTGGAGGTCATTTCCACATAATGACGCATCAGTGACAAAAATAATGCCCGATGCAGCTACTTGTATTGACGTGAAGCCTATGTCCCAGTGTTTTTAAGGTGAACAATTGACTTGCCTTTGTATGTGTTTGTGATTGATGCCAAAGGTGGGGCAGGATACGCCAAATAGTGACAGAACTTAGACATTTCTGGTCCAGAAATAGTAGGTCGTGTATGATTTTCATAACTGTGCGTGTTCTGAAATGAATTTCATCAAGTTTCATAAGCTGTAACTTCAGTTTGGACATTGTTTTCGTGGACTTTCGAAGGGGAGTGTTTTCTGATGCACTTTCAAATCCCCTCCTGCCAAATTCTAACGGTGGTGGTTGACGGAGATGGCAATGGATATCGATCAGAAAAAGGTTTGTAAACACCATGTTGTCATGAATAAAATGTCTTCAAACACATTTTATTATGTTATATTTCACTTTCATTGTCGGTTGTTTCAATAATGAAATTACCTGTTCGTGGGTTTCAGAAAAAAGTTACCCAAAAAATGAACAACTATTATTTTCTCAACAAAATTTATTAGATATCACTCTTTCACTTATTTTGAATGTGTGAATCTTTGAATTATACCTCCTCCCCCTGAATTGAGAACCGTCCTAACGTGTCCCGGTTGTCAGTATATCTGCACTGAACTCTCAGTTATGGCTGCCAAAGAAATTGTTAACAGTAACAGTGCTGTTAAAGAATTGCAGGAAACCAGAAGACAACCCAGTACTGATGCACAGTGTGATGCTGTTCAACATTAACACGTTGACTAACTATCCCTGCTGGTGTGTTGTCAATTTTTTATAATGTTATATTTTACTTTCATTGTCGGGTGTTTCAATGAGGAAATAGCTTAAATTGTTCCCATTCTGGTCACCATAGAACATTTCTCTAACAGTTTCATAAACATTTCATTTGTATGCAAAAGATATGCCTTCGTTAAATCTTTTAATGTCATCATCGAAGTAGTCAGGGTTGCGGCCTAGATCGCCCCAAACATCCGATATCAAACTGCCGTATTTCCTCTATTTGACACTATACGCCGTCTATTAATTTCGCGAGAGCCCTTGACTCGGCGTGTATTAGAGACCTGGCTGGTGTTAGAGACCCAGCGTGTATTAGAGACCTGGCTGGTATTAGAGACCCAGCGTGTATTAGAGACCTGGCTGGTATTAGAGACCCAGCGTGTATTAGAGACCTGGCTGGTATTAGAGACCCAGCGTGTATTAGAGACCTGGCTGGTGTTAGAGACCCAGCGTGTATTAGAGACCTGGCTGGTGTTAGAGACCCAGCGTGTATTAGAGACCTGGCTGGTATTAGAGACCCAGCGTGTATTAGAGACCTGGCTGGTATTAGAGACCCAGCGTGTATTAGAGACCTGGTTGGTATAAGAGACCCAGCTTGCATTAGAGACCTGGCTGGTGTTAGAGACCCAGCGTGTATTAGAGACCTGGCTGGTGTTAGAGACCCAGCGTGTATTAGAGACCTGGCTGGTGTTAGAGACCCAGCGTGTATTAGAGACCTGGCTGGTATTAGAGACCCAGGGTGTATTAGAGACCTGGCTGGTATTAGAGACCCAGCGTGTATTAGAGACCTGGCTGGTGTTAGAGACCCAGCGTGTATTAGAGACCTGGCTGGTATTAGAGACCCAGCGTGTATTAGAGACCTGGCTGGTGTTAGAGACCCAGCGTGTATTAGAGACCTGGCTGGTATTAGAGACCCAGGGTGTATTAGAGACCTGGCTGGTATTAGAGACCCAGCGTGTATTAGAGACCTGGCTGGTGTTAGAAACCCAGCGTGTATTAGAGACCTGGCTGGTGTTAGAGACCCAGCGTGTATTAGAGACCTGGCTGGTGTTAGAGACCCAGCGTGTATTAGAGACCTGGTTGGTATTAGAGACCCAGGGTGTATTAGAGACCTGGCTGGTATTAGAGACCCAGCGTGTATTAGAGACCTGGCTGGCATTAGAGACCCAGCGTGTATTAGAGACCTGGCTGGTGTTAGAGACCCAGCGTGTATTAGAGACCTGGCTGGTGTTAGAGACCCAGCGTGTATTAGAGACCTGGATGGTATTAGAGACCCAGCGTGTATTAGAGACCTGGCTGGTGTTAGAGACCCAGCGTGTATTAGAGGAAATATAGATATGTTTTACAGTTCATATGGGGGTGATCGATCGGCAGCCATTTTCTGTGAATCGATATGTAGGCTATCTATGTATTCATACGCACATTTTTTTGTGATAAGGCTTAATATATTTGAAAGGGGTTTCCGTAGCAAAAAGGAAACCTCTTTTTAACCAATCAGAATCAAGCATTCATCAATGTCATGGTAGAATGTACTTTCACTGTCTCATGACAGCTCTTCAGTGTAACTGACAATGACATGTGAATGACGTCATGCTTATGATGACGTCATAATTACAACTGTGACGTCATAATGTAGTTACACAATCCAGCGACGACACCAAGTAATTTAACAATTGTAGGGAGACATTTGAATTCAAATATACAGTATTTGTAAAGTAGCAGTGTAACATTTACGATTGAAATGACAAATGTATTATAGTAAACTACGTTTATAACGAACACGCTTATAACGAACTGACGGATATAGCGAACTTACTTTTTTGTCCCGACTATTTGCTGTAGTTATACTGTATATATGCTTATAACGAACTACGGTTATAACGAACTAGAATTAATGGTCCCTTTGAGTTCGTTATATCCGTAGTTTACTGTAATACATTCTGGAGTTAAATTTGTGTTTCATCCATTGGATAAACATTTGTTCTTTTTCCAGTCTCTGCTGCTTGTTACTGGTATACAATCAATAAAACGCAAAAACACTACATTTCCCGTTTCCGCAATACTGTATATTTTAACTATTCTTGTTTTACTTTCTGATTGTAGATTTTAGCTCCGGTTTGTCGAACCGTAAATATAGGAAAAATTAAAATGTGGCTTCAAATATGGCTTCATTCTCCACGGCATGCTTGTTGACTGAAGCTGAGAGTGGCGCGGCCGCCTGGTCCGAGGGTGCAGGTCAAAGGGGAGGACGGTTTCTGCCGCTGCCCCTGTGAGGCTGATGAGGATGTCGTCCCCGATGCTGATGTCAGTCACTCTCTGCGGGGACATCGGGACCCACTTGGCCAACTCGCCCTGAACAAGCACCTTCTTCCTGTGATGATAAACCCACATCAGGTACTTGGGTCCACAGTAAGAGAGAGAGAGAGAGTGTATTTTATCTAAACTATTTCTTATAAACATTATTTTTGTCAAAATCAGGTTGTTGTACGAGCGAGAAATGCATGTCATGTTTCAAACTAGCATTCATTACTATGACAGCTGGGCGGTCAGGTAGCCTAGTGGTTAAAGTGTTCGCTCGTCACGCCAAAGACCCGGGTTCGATTCACGACATGCGTGCAATGTGTGAAGCCCATTTCTCGTTTCCTCCGCCATGATATTGCAGGACTATTGCTAAAAGCGGCTTAAAACCATACTCACTCACTCACTTCTATGACAGCTGCATACTTTGGTGAAAGAACAAGTTTTATACGTTTGACATTTTTTCACTTTAGAGTGGATTAAACGTTACTGGTAATACACAAGATGTCGACAGTCACTATTTGTATGTATTTAAAGGGGAGGACTGGGAGGGATTGGTTATTTACACCATCGATTTCAATAAGTCCTATATGAAGGTAAGGTGTTAATATGAGTGGGCGAATGTATGTGTATGTGATAAACAATTTGTGACAGGAGACACAGTTTTCTCATTGAAGCAAGTCCATGTTCATTATCAGATCCAATAACCTTTGTAATAACTTACGTTGATTTAATATCGTTTGTTAGTTTGTGTCACACCTCCGGACATATTAAATTAGGTTTGCGATTGCTTCTTACGCGAGCTTGTTGAAACCATTGGCTATATATGTAGACAGTATTCATGCGCATGTACTTTCATCAGACAAAAGTCTCTGTGTCAGACTGACTCGTATTGTGAAGATAGAAACAAGGCTCCCCAAAGAATAATGAACTCAACAACCAGTCCTGACACTGGAACAGATACAAATGAGGGTATATTCTCCCTTAGTGTTATTTATCTTATTGTATCCTTCCTGGTCATGTCCGCCAACGGAGTCGTCGTGCTCGTCGTCGCCAAGACAAAGGAGCTGCATATGCCAACGTTGTGGACCATCACTTGGATGGCTGTCTTTGATTTCTTCATGGGTCTGTATATCTTGGTTTTCGTCGTCCCCTCTGCTTTTCTAAACCGATTTGCCTACTCTGATACAATAGTCGGACTTGCTTCCTGTTTATTGACGTTTATAATTGGTCAAACGGTTTTCAACGTTGCCTTGACCGTCATGGAACGTTGCATTGCCGTGTGCTGGCCATTGAGATACATCCATATTGTCACGACCAAACGCTTCATCATAGCAGTAATCATCTCGATGTTCCTCAGTCTAATCCGTCTGGTCCTGATAACTGTGCCTGATGGGGATTTCTACTACCGCGAGGATGCTGCACTTTGTGTTGTTGACTTTAATACCGCTCCGTCTGTTTTGGCATCCATTGGATTTCCTATGGTATCACTGGCTGTGATTGTCATCTGTCTTGTGATGATTTTCATTAAGAAGCGACTCATGAAGAAGCAAGTAGTTCCTGAAGGTGTCTCCGTACGACAAGAGGTTCAGGTCAAATTTACAATGATGTGTCTGGTGTCTACAAGTGTCTTCTGCATTTCGTACGTTCCCTTTACATTTGGTATTATTACAAATTACATATCCGGAAAAGACAATGTACCCACCACCCTGGTTCGGATCCTTATGACTTTGCTTTTATCCAACAGCCTGTGGAATGTGTTCATCTATACTGCCACCTACCAGCCATTCAGGGAGGCTCTCGTCTACGTGTTCTGTAGGTCATACTTCAGAAGGAAAAGGCAACAGGAGATCATTTTAGTGCACTAATTACAATTTTAACGCTTATTCACTCGTTGTCGCGTTGTTATTGCTCTGTAAAGTTAAAATAATGCTGCAGAATAACTTTTAATTTCTTAAAGAGACTTTGAAATGTCCAATGTAAGTTTTTCAAATGCACATATTGTAGTCGACCAAAATGACTATTAATGATTAATGCTAATTTTATTCAGTTAATGATACGGTTATCAATTATAGCTCGATTTCCCAGGTGAACTGTGGTCTACAGCCCAAGAATTGGTATTATGTATTTGGTGATATGAAAGTGTAAAATGTCTTTACGTGAAAAAGGTGTCTACCAAAAGCACGTGCTAGTCTATGAAACAATAACGGCCTCTTATAAAGTGAAATACAACTAAGCGGCAATGTCCTCATCTGGGAGGGGCATTTCATCTCCAGGACAAAACGAACAAAAATAATTGCAGATACCATTTCCAGATAAATGGTAAATGCTTAAAAGGTGCAAATACATTTTGTTTTCCACTAGCTTAGTAAGCAACATGGCATGCTTTATGCAACGTCGTAGGCAATATTCAATGACATTGTTCTGTCTTATGCATGTGGCCAGCTAGACTGAAATAACTCGTTCATGTTGATAGATTAGCGTGTGATCAGCTGCCCGAATATACTAGTAATTAGTGTTTCCTTCTCCTATGTGGCATGTTTGTTACATTATTGGGTCCACATCTTCGGGGACACCAGTGAGAAAACAAGTCGACAACCAAGTCGAAGAAAAGAAAGGCCCCATGCTCTGCTGATACACAAATGAAGAATGTTGATGCTAACGAGAAGCATATTTCCAAATATACATGATCATAAGAAAAAGAAAAGTATGACTGCGTGAGAATAATTTTAAAACTCGTCATTCAGACTTTCTGTGGAAACAATTTGGACATCTTTCTCTATCGGGATGATCGGCGATATGTCATTGATAGCCTAGACATGAAATGTACTGACAACGTTGGAATAGCGAAGTCGATAAAGAGAAATCAACTGTCAACCCAACAACGAGGTTACATTGCAAGATACATTGTATAGGTTGAAAACAAGAAGGCTCCATGATCTGTAGTGGGGGACAAGCATTACGTTTATGGAAGTTGCACACTGTTGTGTGGTATATGCCCACACTAAACAGAAACTCTCAGTAAACTAAACTGATATTGCGCATTATCAGTGGTAGATTGTACATAGAATGGAGTGTAAAATGAAATATGAACCATACGGGCAGAACGACTTAGTCTTATAACTTAATTTTGTTTGCAGCGTGAATTTTTTCGATGCTCAATGCTGGTTGGTTAGTTAGAGCGATGTGACGTCATCAGCTGTTTATGACATCACAAATTAATAGTGTTTTGTCATATATCCGAACACAGAACACATCAAGCGTAATTACTCGTATGAGTTGGTTATACTTAGATGGTTGGTTATAGAAATTGCATAATTATTGCTCTTTCAGAAAATCCTTTTACTGGAAACCTAAACAGCCACACCCGAGGATTAGTTTGTACCACATTGAAATACTCAATGTTTGATATAAGTTTAGTTTGTTGACGACATGGAGGCACATTTTTCTGAATAGAAATTATGCTTGATTGTTCACCCTGATGTTTACTGATTGTATTGTGTTCAAGTTCAATCAATATTTTGACCAAGCCTTTCACATCATGTGTCAACGGCCGTATTTGTTCTCTCTGTCATGAGAACTGTTGTGGAAGTGATAGGGAACAGGCATATTTTGTTGGAGCTGAATATTGTTTTGCTGTGCATATATGTGCGTTGTACGTAGTTTTATCACATAATAAAAACTGTTAAATACCTTTTTTAAAGTCTTTCTTCAGATGAAATTTTGAGATGAGAACGAACGAATATTTTTGCATTCAACAGACGCTCATGGTATAGAGGCACAGTATAACTATCCGTGAATAATCGTACTATCAGTTACTTGTGAACACACTCATAATCAAAGTAAGATGATCGCTAATTTATTATAAGATTTTAAAAGAAAACAGAGACGGATCGAAACATGTATTTGCTTTATAAGGTATAAGTGTGTGTGTGAGTGAGTGAGTATGGTTCTACGCCGCTTTTAGCACTATTCCAGCAATATCACGGCGGGGACACCAGAAATTGGCTTCACACATTGTACCCATGTCAGGAATCGAACCCGGGTCTTCGGCGTCACGAGCTAACGCTTTAACCACTAGGCTACCCGACCGCCCCTTAAAAGGTATGAAGACTGGCTTGGTTGATAAGGTTTGTTTGTTTGTTTGTTTGTTGTTTAACGCCGCAATAGTAACATGAGATATAATGCCAGACATATAGTCATGTAACTTCAATTATTTGTCGATTTCTCATTGCCCTATCATAGCGTATCAGAGCATCCAGCCAGCAAGATGGCACACAGACATAGCTTTGACTTGGATGTACATTGTAGTCATGATATATGATCACCTTTTTGTGAGCACTATTTCTTGTAGATACATCTTACATATATGAGAAAAGAGGTAGGCAATAATGAGACGAGATCACTTACGTAAAAAGAGATTTCTGTGAACATATAGTGGTGATCATGTTCATGGCAATTCAGCTTCATTAAGTCTCAAGACACATTTGGCACAAGATGACCCTGAACTTTATGGAGGTGAGGTGAAATGGGGTTTAACGTCGCATACAAGATTATTGCACTTGTATAGCGACGTGCATGCACGTGTGTGTGTGTGTGTGTGTGTGTGTGTGTGTGTGTGTGTGTGTGTGTGTGTGGCTGCTTGTACTAGTCCGGACTGATAACGATTTTTAAGTGCTAGCCCACTGATATACCATGCCGCAGTTTAACATCAATACCCCACTCAGACACAGTATACTGACCCCGAGTCGACCGGTCCTTGTTTTAGCCCCTTAAAACCGAGGGCAAGCCAGGGTAACAACAAGTACCATCTTCTAACGTCTTTTGGTATGACGCGGCCGGGGATCCATCTACGTACCTTGCGCTCTCCGGGCGGCGCTCTACCACTAGATCACGGAGGCGGTCCCACTCTCCGGGCGGCGCTCTACCACTAGATCACGGAGGCGGTCCCACTCTACGGGCAGACGCTCTACCACTAGACCACAGAGGCGGTCCCACTCTCCGGGCGGCGCTCTACCACTAGATCACGGAGGCGGTCCCACTCTACGGGCAGACGCTCTACCACTAGATCACGGAGGCGGTCCCACTCTCCGGGCAGACGCTCTACCACTAGACCACGGAGGCGGTCCCACTCTCCGGGCAGACGCTCTACCACTAGATCACGGAGGCGGTCCCACTCTCCGGGCAGACGCTCTACCACTAGACCACGGAGGCGGTCCCACTCTCCGGGCGGCGCTCTACCACTAGACCACGGAGGCGGTCCCACTCTCCGGGCGGCGCTCTACCACTAGATCACGGAGGCGGTCCCACTCTCCGGGCGGCGCTCTACCACTAGACCACGGAGGCGGCCCCACTCTCCGGGCAGACGCTCTACCACTAGACCACGGAGGCGGTCGAACTTCATGGACGTTTCTAATCGCATACATTTGCATAACACATAATTACTTTGAAATAGGTCCGTTAAGATTATTAAGAAAAGGCCGAGAAGTGGGCCTTAATGACGGTTGACAGGAAGCTGCTGTATGAGGTAGACGTAGTAGAAATTGGTCAAATAAGTACTAGAATATGTACTTTACTAAGAAAGTATTATCCAAAATGTAACATGTGTTACTTTTTAAAAACTGTATCAATGACATTGTGTGTTCATTGCTATGGCAATTTACACATGTCAGAGGGGTACACAAAGTACGTGATCTTGACCACCAGTTATCGGACTTTCATTTTGTGGAAGCCTCGGTGGTTGGGTGGATTAATTGGCTGGACTTTGTGTCCTGGCGATTAGGTGCCTTACTTCTGTCAGTGTGGTTTCATATCCTGGCTGGGAAACTGTACTTTACAAAGAAATTGTTATCCGAAATATAACATTTGTTGCGAAAGTTAGTTAAGTCTCTGAAACGAAAAGATTTTGAAATTGTCTGTTAAATTGTATGTTAAATTATGATAATATAGAGCCCAGAGATTCCCTTCATTTTCAGAATGAAGACATCTAGACTTGTCTATGTATTCTAGACTTGCCTATGTATTCTAGACTTGTTTAAGACTATTTGCATGTTGTTGTTTAAAGGAGCAGGAGCCAGTTGAATTTCTAACTTCACTGAAGACATTGGGGAAGGATGGATGTCGTTGTTCTTAATATTTGTTTGAATAGAAGGCAACGGGGATCATTGTGTAACCAGCAGCTGTCTGGATGTAGGTCACTCACGGATGTTATTACCTAGTAATGATGTGACACTCAGAAGGGGGAGAAAGAGAGAGAAGGAAAGTTAGAAAAACGAAAGGGATAGATAAACAAAAACTAGAGAAGGTTTCAATACATATTCATACTGACTTCTAGTTCTTATTTGAAATATTTCTCTGGTTGAAGTGTTTGTTATATGGTAAACATTCCATGAATCGCGTCAACATGAATAACTTTGCTAATGACTATTTTTGCTCTTTAACCCGTAGGGCGCCGCGATTCGCTGTGCAGAGTTGCGTCCCTTGGGCACTCCAGAAACCTATGATTTTGGGTTCGAATCCCGGTTCGCCCCGATTATGTTTCTAGGTTTGTCAGCACCATACCCGTGCTCGTGGGTTTCACCGAAGTGGTAAACGTCTGAGACCTGCATCACTTCGGGCTTTCCTCCCACATTAAGCTGTCACGCCGCGATATAACTGGAATACTGTTAAAAGCTGAGTTAAACCAAACTCACTCACTCGCTCACTTTAACCCGTAGGACATTGTTCAGGTATAATTATTGACTTACTTTGATGCCCATATGATTTATATCATTTGCATCAAGCTGGAACGCGAGAAGGTCTTCAACACATAATTGTTTCAAGCGTTCGCTCGTCACGCCGAAGACCCGGGTTCGATTCCCGACATGGGTACAATGTGTGAAGCCCATTTCTGGTGTCCTCCGCCGTGATATTGCTGGAATATTGCTAAAAGCGGCGTAAAACCATACTCACTCACTCACTCACTACAATATGAAGCAAACAATAATGTTATTCGATGGTGATGTATTTGATACCAGTATCATAGTTGTGTCTTAAACCTTAAGTTGGCAGTGTGTCGGCCTAGTAACGTTTTGATAACGTTTGTAATGTTTTGGTCAAATCCAATACTTTCTTCTGCCCGGCAGTGTATTAGCGACAAACGGATATATACATGGCTATATACATGGATATATACATAGGCAACACTTCTGCATATTTGATATACGTACCCTTGAACTTGAAGGACAGGTGACACATAGAACAGACAGAAGTCCACTGTACCACAGCCAGTCATGGTAATGGGGTCAGCGTCTGTCAGAGGCTGGATCTTGCTGGGGTTGTTGTAAGGGAAGATCATGGAAGTTGGGAACTGAAACAGCAACCAGACATTTACACATGACGATCAACTATGCTTCCTGTTCGTTTCCAAATTTAGCATAGCCTTGCGCTTTAAGTGTGGATGGATGTAGAACGCATGTCACAGGTTGTGTTTGAAATACTGCAAGTATTTCACCGAGACAGCCAGAACTTATTTCCTTTTACGGTCAGGTTTTTCTTTCTCGTTTTAGGAAGATGCTTTAACGAAATTTATTTCTCTTCTTTCTTTATCTGCTTTACAGAATCACCATACAGTGATACCTGGCTCTTTCAAAGTAGGTCAAGTTATCGCCCTGAAACGTTGTGTGGTATCAATAACACTCCTTGTCCTGAAGCTATGCGTTGTTTGAGTACCACTAATGGACCACTAATGGACCACTAATGGACCATGGTGCCGATGATGACTGTGCCAGTACCAAGGTTAAGTCACTTATGACGCTTTTCATAAAATGAACCATGCGAGTTGGGGGACTCCAAGATTGGGCTTCACACATTACATCAATACTGAGAATGTCTAACCCACTTGCCTATCCCGCTATCCGTGTGACATGTTAATTGACGGTGAGGTGAAATGGGATTGAGTGTTCAAGATTAAAGATTATAGAGACGTGCAGGTATGTAGTGGTACGTGCGTGAATGCGCGTATGCGTGGATGCTGGTACTAGGTCAGACTTGAATGCCATGCCGTAGAGTTTAACAAAAGGCAGACTGGTGTCGCCCTGTCCTTGGTTTTAGTCTGACGTGGGGAAGGGGTCAAACTACCAGTTGTCCACTCTCTGGGCACTCTCCAGTACACCGAGGAAGGGGTCACATGTTAACTCATCAGTACACTGTGTTAACTTACTCCTTGGAAGCCAGCCATGCCGGGCGTCATCGTGTAATTACCAGTCAACTCCGCAGCAAGGATGATACCAAACTTGTTCTTCCCTCCAAAATCTGAATATGTTGACCACACCTCTCCGTCTGGTCCCTCAAAGTCTCCCCAGGCCATCTGTCAGGCAAGATCAGGTTTGTGACATATCTGACAAACGTTTATAGTTCATGATATATTTCTTCTGGACAAAATGGGAACTTACTCTTCGAATTGTATTGTCTATGGCAGTTGCAGGACGGGATGGTTTCAAAATAAGTCCGTCCGCATTTACGGATCTGTAAACATATGAAGAGGACAAGAGCGTTAGTTGCTGGGGGTGCAAGACAGTGTAGCTGTTATTGTAACTGTAGAGGACAAGAGCGTTAGTTGCTAGGGGTGCATGACAGTGTAGCTGTTATTGTAATCGATAGCCATATCAGTTTGTTCACATTTGTTTTCAATCTGGTGTCCTGTTCCAGATTGTTTGGTAACAGTGGAATATTGTTGACTGTGGCAACATTTGCACTGACTCACACGTGCTCTGTAGTGTGAAATACTGTTCATTGCGCTGTTAAGACAACTTACTCCCCAACCCTGTTGTGAGGTAAGACTGTTGCACTTACATAGCGCGCATGTTTGTGTGTGTGTGTGTGTATGTGTGTGTGTGTATGTGTGTGTGTGTATGTATGTATGTGTGTATGTGTATTTGTGTGCGTGTATGTGTGTGTATATATGTGTGTGCGTGTGTTTGCGTGTGTATGTGTGTGTATGTGTGTGTATGTGTATGTATGTGTATGTGTGCGAGCGTGTATGATTGTATGTAGGTTCATAACAATAACAATATATAAACAGTACGTACTTCATGCAAATACTTCACGAACATGAGCCTTGAAAGCTGACACGCCTGACATAACTGAAATACTGTTCAGAGCGCCGTTACACCAAATTCCCTTATTATGAATACGTCCCCGTCTAATTGTGAACGGATGTTGGCACATTAGGAATGTGTGGGTTACACTGTCCGTTCATTTACATTTAACTCGTGCTTGCTGTAAGAGGCCACCGTGCTTGTCCTTTAGGGGTGACTGACGGCATCGGGTGGTCAGGCCCACTAACTTGGTTGATGCATGTCATCATATCCTAATTGCGTAGATCGATGTTCATGATGTCAGTCACTGGATTGTCTCTTCTAGACCCGATTTTTTACAGACCGCTGTCCTTTAGCTGGAACACTGCTGAGTACGGCGTTAAACAAAAAATAAACAAACAAACAAACAAACAAACAAAACTGTCTGGATCCCTTGTGTCCCCTACTTGAACAGTTATTAGAAACTAAAGTACCCCATAAGTTATGTCATTATGGTGTCTTTTGTTGCCGTATACGGTATTATATTTAGTTAGCTCCAGCCTCGCCTCATATGATCCTGCGGGGGGCGGTCGGGTAGCCTTGTGGTTAAAGCGTTCGCTCGTCACGCCGAAGACCCGGGTTCGATTCCCGACATGAGTACAATGTGTGAAGCCCATTTCTGGTGTGCCCCGCCGTGATATTGCTGGAATATTGCTAAAAGCGGCGTAAAACCATACTCACTCACTCACTCATATGATCCTGCTGGCCTGACATGACACCAAATATGGCAACTAAAACACCATAATAAATGTATAATGCCGAAATGTTTTTACTGTCTGGTATCTCTGTTGTACATGTCAAAATAAATACTGGACACTTACAACTGTTGACGTTAAGGGTAATGGGAGACTACTCTTCAAACCTTGTTGAATTAACTGTAATCATGTATCAATAAAGACATGAAAGTTATTTCTTTCAAAATTAATGTCCTTGGACATCACGATTAATTATATAAAAACACAAAACAGTGTCGAATACCGAACTTTTGGACCAGACTTGTTGTGTGCAATATGTGAGGTGGGTTGAGATGGCTGTTGCTGCCGGTATAGGGTACAGGCCAGGAATACCAGCTTGGGTTTATACTGACGTCCTACGGGCACATGTGGGGTTAGTAGTTCTGCTTTCTGATTGGTCAATATCACTTTGAGGCATTATAAATTATATATATACTTCATGATCAAAGACTTGTTCGAGCCGCCGATCATATCACTTATCCCAACAGGTCCAGTGCTCAGAGTAGAGACGACTGCTAGTAGCGCTGTATTCGGCTCTGACGCGTCTGAAACGAAACATAGCACTTGAGAAAATGGGAAACTCGGGAAAAGAAAGGCTACTAAATTAGAACCAAATCTTTCCGTTGTATTTCTTGAAAACTGACAGGAACTGAAATTTATATTTAGAATTGTCCCCGGAAATACCAAATAAAGAGAACAAAGTGTTGTGAGTATTATTATTGTTATTACCGTAAAACATCCTACAAAGTGTGAAACGAAACATAGTACTTGAGCTGAATAATAAGCCACATTATACCCAAATCTACCTGTTGTATGTATTGACAGAAAATGAAAAGAATTAATATATAGTATTGTCTCAAAAAACACCAACTAAAGAGAACAGAATCTTGTCAGTATCAATATTGTTATTTCCGTAAAACTTGTAAACATCCTACAAAGTAGTTCATGAAAATGTACCACGGTAATGTGTTCTCCTACAAACTGTACACATAATGTCCTTCGTTTGTAAATTAGAAACGTCTCTTTTGCCTAGTGAATAGTTTGAAGATATTTCGATGAGGAGGTAATAGTAATCCTGAGTGCTGCTTCATGTAATGTATTGCCCACAACTGTTTTATGGCGACAAATAAAACAGCTTGAAATAGACAATAGACAATAGATGAGGCTATATGGCAAAAGACACGCATAAATGTCATAAGATGTTTCCGTTTCTGTAAGAAATTACAATAAAGGTTTCTGTTGTTGCAAAGGTCTTGTGACCCTGCATACAGATGATAGATTCCCCACGAAGCGTTCAATAGGCGATTTCACGCTTTTCAGACTTGATATATGAATATATGTTTGTTGCTAACAGTAGTATGTGCTGGTGTAATTTCGCAGTTTTCTTTTCTAACCAAACAGAATGGAAGATGCAGTCACATGAAACATATCTTGAAGGTACTGGTTAAATCGTTGTTCTAGTTCTCTCCAGCAACCAGTAATAACATCGCATTCGATAAAACATGGAACATATCTTGAAGGTACTGGTTAAATTATTGTTCTAGTTCTCTCCAGAAACCATTAATAACATCGCATTCGATATAAACATGGAACATATCTTGAAGGTACTGGTTAAATTATTGTTCTAGTTCTCTCCAGAAACCAGTAATAACATCGCATTCGATATAAACATGGAACATATCTTGAAGGTACTGGTTAAATCGTTGTTCTAGTTCTCTCCAGAAACCATTAATAACATCGCATTCGATATAAACATGGAACATACTTTTGCAAAAAGAAAACTTATCATCATGAACAAGTTTCATTTTACACAATTGCTTTTATGTATAAATAGTCTCTTATGCATAAATTTATACGGACATCATATAATTTTGTGTCTCGTGCACAAACTAAACTGTCTGTTGTCTTTGCCATGTAAAGCACACCCGGAGTACATTACCGGTTCTAGTTAAGATATCATGATATTGTCAACCTGTTTAACTTTAATTTTATGTTAATAATAGTGCCCGACATTTTCTTGGAACACGTATATGATAAAGGTTCATGTTGTGGGCGCTTTTATTACCTTGTCCTCCGTGATGGACGACATTTCCTAATCTAAAAACGTGCCCTTAATATTAAAGTTGTCCTTCAACTCCTGGAAATCCATGAAACCATTTTCGTTGCACGTGTATTTAATTTAATTTATCTCATTTTTTTTACCAAACTTTTTGTCTCAAAGTCGGAATCTTTAAAGTGATTGAAGTATTAAACCTCAGAGCTTCCACAATTATTTCATCAAAATCAGACACACCAGATAGTTCAGGCTTACTGTAGAACCTTACCCAATTATTTCAAATAGCTCTCTAAAATGGGTTAAAGAAATAATACTGCATATTGATACGAGCTCCATTATGTAAAAAAATGTGGAAATGGAAAATAGGATATTTTGTCTGTCTTTCCCTGATAACTCGTTTCAGAAATGACAATTTTAAAGAATGGTGAAAGGCATTGAGATATATCATTCGTGAGCCACCTTCTTCATGGGGCTTAATGAAATGTATCCACTTTATTTTATCAGGTTTGTCATTCCAGATGAAAACTATAGACATTATTATTTAGCGTTTTGTTGTAACTTTCTGGCGGATTCGTCATTGACGTGAAAACATGCACTATTGTTGACAAGGAAAGTGTTTTGATTAACGTAATTGTGTCAATTAATGTCTACTAATTCCATACATTTTTACATATTTGTCCGGGGATCTTTTGCGATACAAAAGTTGCGATAAGGCTATATCTTTGTAAATATACCGCAGTAAGTCGCAAACACAAAGTGGAAGCAGGAAAACGTGCAACCTTCCGCCATGCTCCTGCGGAACAGTACTGCAGTAACGAGGCAAACAGTCGTGACCAATACATGTAGGTGGTTTTAAAACGTTCCCTTACTGTATGTGTTGCCAGGTTGAACTGATGTCCAGAAATTGTCCTTATACGGAGCTACACCAATGGCCCAAGCCAAGAGTGATGACACGCCAATCTTCCAGTGGTCGTCGCCTGGGTGGTAGTCTCTGCTTACCCTTGCCTGAGAAAGTGAATAGTTATTCATAGCAGATGCATCAAATGCTGCTGTAAAGAGGGAAGTCGATGAGCACTAAATCTGCTAACAAGTGAGTTAAAATTACCATGTAAATGCACTTCTCGATGTCACTAAGGCAACATAGCTTCAATCTTACTCTGACTTATTATTGTTGGAAATGACCGCCTCCGTGGTCTAGTGGTAGAGCGTCCGCCCGGATAGCGGAAGGCCCGGGGCTCGATCCCCGACCGCGTAATACAAAAAGACGTTAAAAGATGGTACTTGTTGTTACCCTGTCTGGCGCTCGGCATTAAGGGGCTAAAACAAGGACTGGTCGGCTCGGAGTCAGTGTACTGTATCTGAGTGTTAAACTGCGGCATGGTATCTCAGTGAGCTAGCACTATAAATCGGCATCAGTCCGGACTAGTACAAGCAGCCACACAAACACACACACGTACATGCACGTCCCTTTATAAGTGCAATAATCTTGGACGCGACATTAAACCCCATTTCACCTCACCTATTGTTGGAAATTAAAAAAATCAAGAAAAGACATAGTTGTCAGTAACGGAGATAAGATAAAGTAACTTCGTCTGTAGTGTACCATATCATAAAAGAAACTAACTATCAATTTCGAAAATACGCACTTCTGAGTGTTCAATTAGAGGATTCAAATCAAATGAGCACTGATTGAAACGGCTGATTCGGAGTCTCCATCTCCATGCAATCTAACATTATTTTAAAATCTATAGAAATACTTGTACCGTAGTCGACGTAAAAAGCGCCCAGGGCGCACTCAAGTTAAGAAATAGGGGTCTCTTATTAGAATATGATTTTGTTGAAAGGGTTGAACGATCGTAAATTTCGTGGTTTATGCTGACAGTCAGAAATGATACAAAAGAAAGGTACATGTATGTGCGTATTATACACGACAGATATATTTTTCAAGAATTTAATTGCTCGTAATTAAGGGTGGATGTTGGTTACAAAATGCAGGTTTGGGGGTTACTGCAATTTTCAAAGTATGTGTGGGAATACATAAAGCACGATAGAAACCGAATCCTCGTGAGCGTTTTTCAAGTTTTAGGAACAATAGTTAACGTAACATTTTGGCGTCAAAATGGGCGTTTTTGGCGTTATTACTGTGACGTGTGATTTGGAACTAAACTAACTGAACGATGTTGAAGACTTGCATACTTTTCCTCAGACGCAAAGGGAAATATAAATATGTACACTTTGCATAGGGTTATTGCATATTTATCAAATGTCATTTTACGATTACAACTTCTTGTAGTTTTTGCGGTTGAGTCAGCGATCTAACCCATTCAGCCACCGAACCTTCCACAAAAGGAAGTCCTACAACTGGTTGTCTAGATCAGTACTTTGTGTACCCCTCTGACAAGTGTTAATTGGCACGCCTGCCATGACCGAAAGCAATGAAAACAGAATGCCATTTGCAAAGTGGACAGATGTAACAATTGTTATACTTGGGATTACACTTTCTCTGTAATCTCAGAGCGTTACACAAAGAACGTGATCTGGACTACTAGTTGTCGGACTTCCATTTTGTGCAAGCCTCGCTGGCTGAGTGGGTGAGGTCCCTGTCTTTATGTACTAGCGATTGTGTGCCTCACTTTGAGAGTGTGCCAGAGTTTGTACATACTAAGAAATGTAATCTCAGATATAACATTTGTTACATTTCTAAATAGCATTATGTGTTCACAAATTTTATCAACACTCTTTGGCTAGATACTGAACTGATTTCTTATCTCATTGCATACAACGACCAAATAAAAGAAGCATACCTTTGTTCAGTTCTTGAAGATTAATTTACTTTTCATAAAGAACAAGGTATTCTAAGCACCCTTTCAACCCTCTAGATTAGGCAGAAAATTGTGGACTCATCTAGTTAAGAGTTACGAAGTAAGTCTATGACCTGAGAGGACTTTTTAGGCATATGTGTTGAAGATTTAACCTGCATCTACATTGTCAAATATTAGAAAACGGTTAGGCCTTCTTGACACATTAAGCCCATCATTTTATGTTGCTATACTAAACAATCTGCATGTTTCAAATAAAATTATTTGATAAAATGCTTCTTGTTCTTTTCCTGTCACTTTGTTTTCATTAACTGACATTTGTGCACACCCACCTGTGTTACTACGGGAATTTCCAGCGACTGAAGGGCGTGGCGGGGGTAGGACATACAATACTGGATTCTCAAGCCATTCTTTGCTGCTCCATTACCCATCTCCTTCAACCACTGCTTGGCTAGATGCACGTCAGTGTGAAGCTGGGTCACCGAGTCAAACTGGGTGTCTAGAAAGTCCTGAAACAGAACGTGCTTCATTGAAGACATCTTGTATACATATATGAATAGGAACACACTGATACAGGTGCACAGTAAAAACTGTGACTTATGATTCACTAAAAAGAATATTAGAGTCAATTTTAATTCAATAATGATGGAATTCCTGCTTTAAAGTACTGATACCTGTAAATGTAAATTTTCTCAGAAAAATGTCAAATAGCTGCACTAAATGAAATGCGTACCTGTTCATAAACAAGCAGTCCCCACTGTCGCGCGGAAGACATGAGATCTGTCCAGAATCGCTGAAAGCAATGTGATCAGTTGTCATTAAAATTGATAATATAACATCAATATATAATTTGCTTGATTAAATCATGTTTGTGTTATGGGAGCCTGTACGTATCCCCATGCTGCTTCCGGGTTACAATAGGTCCCCAGCAAACTATGATGGTCGTATTGGACCGACTAACCGCTCAGTGACCTGGTTATATATTACATGTCAACGTATCCCGATGATGTTGATCGTTGCTCACGAGAGCACTAACTAGTTTGTCTGGTCCATACTCCGCTATGTAACTGGAATATTTCTGAGTGCAACGTTAATAAAAGAAGTAAAAAAGTGCTAACCTCTTCTGTTGGTAGTGCTTTATGTCCATCAATAATGAAATTGTAGTTTCCCCCATTCTGCTTGGCATATGTGTTATTGGATGACCTGGGAAAGGAAGTTAAAAGATTTTGCAGCTTCCTGAATGATGGGAAGACAAGGGTCTACATCCCTTCGAGCCTCACACGTCAAAGCTGTTCGAAGGTGTGTCATTTGTGATTTTTCACTCCAATTGTAAGTTATTTCGGCCACAGACTGTAATACAGAAGTTGTTCATCAATATATCGTATCCTTACTTATGCTGTTACACCTTGCTATTGTAAGTTGTTTACATCTTTCGTTATTTCAAGCAGATACTTACCAATTATGCTCGTGGGGTTATAGGGATGGACAATTGGTGCCATTATCCCATGCAGGTAACAACAGCCTGGTTGCTCTCATACAGCTAGATTATTCCTGGGTGGTTATGATTAATATACATAATCCAGATTGGTGAATGACTGATCGAACGCAATTTTCTATAATCGAACACTAATGATTTCGATTTCTCTCTCAATCCTGAGGAACATATGTTTACGGAGAAGAAACTCTGTAATTAGTGACTAGAAATGTGAAAATGCGTCGGTTTTTAAAGATAAAGATCTAAAACAATTATTTGTGTTTGTTTTTCTTAGGTGTTATCTGGTGTCACTGATCGCAAGATCAAATCAAATCTGTGATATAAATTCATTCTATGGTATTGAACAGAAGGATGACAAATCATTCAGAAACATTCGCGCGAACGCACCACTTGTTAAAGTATGGTGTTCTGGACAGCACGTGGCGCACGGGCTGCATGCGCAAATGTGTGCGGCGGGGAACTCTGTCCCTAGCTCTGTCACTTGTACAGTCATGCTTGGTAGAGAGCAGCCATGTAGACGGTGGCTGCCTCTGACAGTGTCAAATCAGGGCACAATGGTCGGAATTAAAGTCAAATGAGGACTTTAATAAAACCAAATAAGGGTTTTTTCGTAGTCAAATAAGGACTGAAATATAGTCAAATAAGGACTGAAATATAGTCAAATAAGGACTAAAACATTGTCAAATAAGGACAAATCGTGGTAAATAGTTATTTTAGAAATTGTTTCTGAAATCGTGGGTCAATTCAAATATGGTGTAAATTTGTGTTTTACTTATTAAACAGACATTAACTTTAAGTTTTGTTGAGTTATAATTTTAGACTTCCACTGCGTATCAAAATGGTAGCAGAGCGTGGTTACCATACCAATAGTTGATAAATCACATGTTGATGTGATTTGAACAGACAGTTTAGTTTCATTGTACATAGTTTCGATATGGCACAGTCAACTGGAAATTGGTTGTATGATAAACCACAGGTGGTAATTCATAGTGTTTATCCAACAACCGTTACCATAGTATGTATACACTGTATGTTTAACCGTGTACATTAGCGTTGGGTATTATGTTGAATTTGTATCAGAAAACTTGATCACGTGTTAGCTTACAAACATGTCCCAAACTAGTGTAATCTCTCTCATAAAAGGGAAAATGGACAAAACAGAGCTTACACTTGATACAATTGCAGACATACCTCTGCCTGAGTCTGATGGTATTTCAAACAAAACAGATTATGAATCTACAATGAACTCTCTGAAGAGGCAGAAAATGATAGTAAAATCAGCTTTCACAAAATCAAAAAAATGCTTTGGAGAAGCTAGTTGATCAAGGAGATATTCCATCACGAATGGAAGTTCGGGAAGCTATAGACAAATTAAACAGTTGCCAGCTAAAGGCTTTAGAAGTTATTGTGAACCTGTCAGAACTGTTTGAAGCTGTTGGTGATAAAAACAATATGGTCAAGGTCACACAGGAAGGTGAATTATTAGAAGAGGTAGGTACTAAAGCTCAAGACGATGCACAGGACTATCTCAGAAATAGGTCTGATGCTATTTCCAAATATTGTCTGTCACAAATGTTTAATTCTGAAAAGAAGGTAGATGTGAAAGATGTTCCTGTAAAAAACGCTTCTTGTCATACGAAATCAGTCGGTGGGCAATCATGTTATCAAGTAGAACCACATCATGAACCAGTTCAGATGGTGAGGCAGCATTCAGATAGTTGTTACAATCGTAGGACACCTACACTTTCACACAGTTATGATATTGGTAAAGACATGTGGAAACAGTTGAAGCGTGTGTCCATCCCTGTCTTTACTGGAGATGTCAAATCATATGAAGCCTGGAAGGCTGCATTTATTGCTTGTATAGACAAAGCACCTGCCACACCAGAATATAAGTTGCTTCAGTTGCGCCAGTTTGTTAGTGGTGATGCAATGAAGGTCATTCAAGACTTAGGTCACAGCGCAGCAGCCTATGGTGTAGCTCTTGAGAGACTGGAACGTAAATTTGGAGGAGTGAGACGTCATATTGCTCTCCAATTGGAAGATATTTCATCCTTCAAGCCAGTGCGACCTGGTAATGCAAAGGACTTTGAACGGTTTGCTGATATGCTGGATGTTGTGGTTGTAAACCTAAGGGAGTCTGATAGGTTAGAAGAGTTAGGCAATGGATGTTTGTATGTACAGATTCTGAAGAAAATGACGGAATCCATGATCAGTCAATACCAAAGATGGATATTTGAAACTCAACGACAGGAGTCAGTTGAAGCATTGCGTGAATGGGTTTTAATGGAAGCAGAATTCCAGATCATTGCTTCAGAAACCATCAATGGGTTAGCTGTTAAAGGAAAGACAATATATCATAAAGGTCCAAACAAATCCGGGTCTTTCTTTGGTAACAAACAGTCTGAAAGAGATCACAGATGTCAGTTGTGTCACATGGACAACCATGACATTGTGACATGTTGGAAGTTTAAATCAATGACAGTTCCCAGGAGATGGGAAACTGTCCAGCAGTTAAACCTTTGCTTCCGTTGTTTTGGTTTCAGTCACTATGGCAGAACCTGTAGACGCAACACCAAGTGTGGTATTGATAACTGTCCTGCATTACATAATCAGTTACTTCATTCAAAAAGAAGTGTAGCTTATAGTAACAGTGACAATACTCAAACACCACAGCAAGCTGTAACAAGTATAGAACATGATCATGAAGTTCCAAAGTTCACAACAATGTCGTCCACAAAATCTGATAAGCCTACGCTCCTTTCACTTCGGACTGTACCTGTTGTTATTAAAAATGGACCAAACAGAATTGTTGTAAATGCATTGTTGGACGATGCAAGTACACAAACCTACATTAATGAAGATGTAGCTTCACAGTTGGGGTTAGTAGGTAAAAGGCAAGATGTCTCTGTCAATGTCCTAAATGGACAAAGTGAGAAATTTCAGACCACAGCTGTTTGATTTGGTCTTGAAAGTATGGATGGGTCAGTGGATATGACAATGTCTGCGTTAACTACTACTCGCGTCACGGGTCAAATGCAAGTTGTCAATTGGCAAAAACATTGCAAGCAGTGGTCACATTTGCAACATATTCAGTTCCCAAAGGTGAAAGCCCCTCACATTGTAGATTTACTCATTGGAATGGATTACCTGGAATTACATCGATCTTATGAGGATGTTCCAGGTGGTGATGGAGAACCAATAGCCAGACTCACTCCTCTTGGGTGGACATGTGTTGGATGTATTCCTAGAGATTCGGGACATCAGAGATCTTATAGCACTTACTTCTCAAATGACAAAGAGCTTGAACTAAACTATATGCTTCACAAGTTTTGGGAAGTAGAAGAGTTTCAGTCATCAGAACCAATCTTGACAAAGCAAGATGAATCGATTGTTGAGTTTGTGCAACAATCTTTCACTTATGAGAATGGACAATACCAGATAGGTATACCTTGGAAGGCAGATTTCAAGTGTCTTCCTGACAATTACAACGTGGCCTATAAACGCCTCTGTAATACAGAGAAGAAGTTGTCAAAAGACAAAGCTGTAGCTGAAGCTTATGATCAGACTATTTCAGACTACCCTGCAAAGGGTTATATTCGGATTGTAACTGCAAATGAAGATACCTCTTGCAGTCAGTGGCTCTTACCACACTTTCCTGTAGTACGGCCAGATAGAAGTACAACCAAAGTCAGGGTTGTTTTTGATGCTTCAGCGAAATGTCAGGGTATATCATTGAATGATATCATACACCAGGGACCAAAACTTCAGGGTGATTTGTTTGAGATACTTCTTCGATTCCGCAAATACAAAATAGCTTTGGTTTGTGACATTGCTGAAATGTATTTACAAATAGGAATTCCATTCAAAGACCGTTCATACTTTAGGTTCTTGTGGAGATCATTAAAACAATCAGAAATACCACAGATATATGAATTCCAGAGAGTAGTCTTTGGCATGAATGCTTCTCCTTTTCTGGCACAATACATTTCTAGGGAAAATGCAAGGAGGTTTGAGCATCTCTTCCCAAAAGCTGCAAACACTGTTTGTAAATCCACGTACATGGACGATGGTATGGATTCTGTTCCAGAAGTGGATGATGGTATTGAATTGTACAAACAACTTACAGCCTTGTGGGGAAAAGCAGGAATGCGATCCAGGAAATGGTTATCAAATTCTCCAGAGGTCCTCAGACACATACCAGTTGAAGATAGAACATCCGAGGTCAACTTGACAAAGGATGAGTTACCGTCAGCTAAAACATTAGGTCTTGTTTGGCTAGCTCAAGATGATGATTTCTGCTTTCACAGTCCTAGGGTGGGAGAGAACTTGATACTTACCAAGAGAGGGTTTCTTAGAGAGATAGCAAAATTGTTTGATCCCCTTGGTTTTCTTGCTCCATTTCACATTAGGGCAAAAATTACAATGCAGAAACTGTGGTTGTCAGGTATGGACTGGGATGAAGTGGTTGAACATGATCTCAAAAAGGAAGCATCACAATGGCTCACAGAGAGAAGTCAGTTAGATGGATTACGGTTTCCAAGGTGTTTGAACCTTGATGACAAAACAACAAAACTACATGTATTTGTTGATGCATCTGAGGATGCATATGGTGCAGTCTTATATTCTGTCAATCTTAATGAAAACGGTGACAATTCAAGCCAGCTGGTAGCAGCTAAAAGTCGGGTTGCTCCTTTGAAGTGTGTAACCATCCCTCGACTTGAGTTAATGGCAGCTGTGTTAGGAGTTCAGCTGATGTTGGCTGTTTCGCATGCCCTTGAAATTAGTAGTTCCAATTCAGTACTATGGACTGATAGTCTTAATGTGCTGTGTTGGATCAAAAATCACAGCCGTTATTTCAAGTCATTTGTAGCCAACCGTATTGCTTTCATACAGGAGCATACTGATACCTCTCAGTGGAAGCATGTTCCATCAGAACTAAATGCTGCAGATATTATCACCAGAGGAACATCAGTTCAGAAATTGTCCACTGCATCTTGGAAAAATGGACCCGAATTTCTGCAGTGTGATGAAAGCAAATGGCCTGAACAAACTGTGAACTTCAGGACATCGCATGAATCTGAAATGAAAAAGAAAGATACAAAACAATCTGTATCCCTTGTCACATTTGCTGATTCAGTTTGGTTACTAGAACCTTCAAGATTTTCCGACTGGAAAAGGCTTACACACAGTACAGCATGGGTGTACAGATTTATCAACAATGCTTCTGTTAAATCAGATGAAAGACAGCTGGGTTGCTTAACCACAGAAGAAATTGCTGATGCTGAAAAGCACATCATTTGTAATGCACAAAAAGATGCATTCTCAAAAGATTATTTGGCGATAGCAAATGGAAAGCATGTTTCCAAAGGTAGCAAACTCATTAATCTTCATCCTGTTGTGGATGATGATGGTCTCCTTAGGTCTGGTGGCAGACTCAAACATGCAGATTATTTGCCCTTCCAAACAAAATTCCCAATTATTCTGCCTAGAAAACACTGGGTAACGAAGCTGATTGTCAAGAAGCATCATGAAGATGGCAATCATGTTCTTGGAACAAACCAAGTGCTTGCTGTTTTATCCTCTCGTTTTTGGATAATTGCCGGTCGTGAAGAGATTCGTGAATGGGAACGAGAGTGTTCACATTGTCGTCGACAAAAGGCAAAGCCAGCAGCTCAAATAATGGCGCCACTTCCAAAGATTCGTTTGAGGTACTCTCTTAGAGCTTTTGAGCAGGCAGGTGTTGACTATGCTGGGCCATTTCTAACGATTCAGGGACGTGGAAAATCCAGACAAAAACGTTATTTGTGCCTCTTCACTTGCTTAGCAACACGAGCAGTACATTTGGAGATGTCATATGCTCTGGACAGTGATTCGTTTCTTAACGCATTCTACAGAATGGCGAGCAGACGAGGGCTACCCAAGGAAATCCTATCGGATAATGGCACTAATTTTGTTGGAGCTACAAATGAGCTGAAACAACTTGTTGCTAAACTAAATACAGATACTGTGAAGTCATCTCTGGCGAACAGAGGTGTGATCTGGAAATTTAATCCGCCACATGCTCCAAACTTTGGTGGAGTTTTTGAATCAATGGTTCGGGCTGCGAAGCGAGCAATATATGCCATTCTTGGATCTGGAGATATAACAGATGAGGAATTGATGACATCATTTGTTGGTGCTGAAGGACTTATAAATTCTCGCCCTTTGACATATCAAAGTGCTCACCCAAATGATGAAGTGCCTTTGACGCCAAACCATTTTCTACATGGTCAAATGGGTGGAATCTTTGCTCCAGATTCTGTAGATGTTACTCCTTTTAATCCAAGAAGAAGATGGAGAAGAGTACAGGAACTTGTACGTCATGTCTGGAAACGCTGGATGAAGGAATGGTTGCCTTCACTTCAGACGAGAAAGAAATGGTTTTCACCCAGCCGGGATCTACAAGTGGATGACGTGGTTATCATCATATCACCAGAAGCACCTCGGGGAAGCTGGAAGCTCGGGATCATCACGAGGACATATCCAGGCACAGATGGTCATGTGAGAGTTGTTGACATTAAAACAGACAAAACTATAATAATGAGACCAGTCACAAAAGTTTGTCCTCTGGAATGGACACAAGGCGACAGACGGGAACAAAAGACAGAAAAGGATGAAGAGGATGGGACAAACAGAAAAGAATGAAATGGGAAGGACAGATGAACAATACAGAGGACTGAACAGAAGAGGATGAAGAAATCAAAAGAAAACAGATATAGAAGAGGAACAAGGACACACGTGAGTGAAAAGGACATTCTGATAACTGACATTTACAGGAAAATGTTTGTGTTTCTCAAGGACTTCAGATTACATTTGTGATCGTGCGATTAAAAATTGTTTCTTTTTCAGGATGAACTTTAATTGAACTTTGAATTGTTTATTTTTCAGAAAATTGAACATTAACGTGTGATTGTTGTCAATGTTTATTGCTTGAAAATTGTACCATGATGATTATTGTAGAATTATGATAGACTTTGGACTATCATAGAGAGGGGAAATGAACAGAAGGATGACAAATCATTCAGAAACATTCGCGCGAACGCACCACTTGTTAAAGTGTGGTGTTCTGGACAGCACGTGGCGCACGGGCTGCATGCGCAAATGTGTGCGGCGGGGAACTCTGTCCCTAGCTCTGTCACTTGTACAGTCATGCTTGGTAGAGAGCAGCCATGTAGACGGTGGCTGCCTCTGACAGTGTCAAATCAGGGCACAATGGTCGGAATTAAAGTCAAATGAGGACTTTAATAAAACCAAATAAGGGTTTTTTCGTAGTCAAATAAGGACTGAAATATAGTCAAATAAGGACTGAAATATAGTCAAATAAGGACTAAAACATTGTCAAATAAGGACAAATCGTGGTAAATAGTTATTTTAGAAATTGTTTCTGAAATCGTGGGTCAATTCAAATATGGTGTAAATTTGTGTTTTACTTATTAAACAGACATTAACTTTAAGTTTTGTTGAGTTATAATTTTAGACTTCCACTGCGTATCAGGTATCTATAAATGAATTATTAAAATCAAATAAGGAATAAATAGTAAAAAAGGCGTCACGACACGATTGCATCACGGTTATAATGTTAATTGCTAGTCTTGTTGCTGCATCATAATTTCTTACACCATCAGTGAGTGAGTATGGTGTTACGCCGCTTTTAGCAATATTCCAGCAATATCACGGCGGGGGACACCAGAAATTGGCTTCACACATTGTACCCATGTCGGGAATCGAACCCGGGTCGTCGGCGTGACGAGAACGCTTTAACCACTAGGATACCCGACCGCCCTCTAACCATGAACAACTGTTAAAAATGAATATTGAACTACATGAATTTAAAATTAACCAAGGAAATAATATCAACCCGACCTGCGTTTATTATTCTCTCTGTAACTATTATCGTTAACATGTGTCTACTTTTAAGTGTATATATTTATACTATACATCTACCTGTTTAAACAGCACCAGTGGGTAAATGGGTTGTATGTAATACAGGACGCTTGTCTGCATCTGATGGGACCCTGCCTTGTACAGAAAGTCCACAGAATTCCATTGACCCATTCTATCCACGCCGCTCCCATTCGTGACGCTGATTAGGGTGAGCGTGCCCTCCTCCACAGAGAACATCCGACCATCAGCCCTGAAGAACATGCTCTCGCTGAACAACCAGGGCCGTCCATTGATATTTAGGTTATAGTCGTCATCATCCGTTATCGTCAAAGACAAGTCGGGGGATTTTGAAATCGGTATTGTTCGAGAAGCTGTAATAGAATACATTATAGCTAAAATGGTTAGAATTATCATTAAGCCGCCCGCACGTTATTAAAAATAAGCGGGCCACTGTAACTTGATAATGCCCTCATATTGCTTGACGACGGGCCATTATCAAGCCCGTTGTTTGGTGACGTCATAGGGTAGAGAAAATGACGTCACGTATTATAGTGACGTCATCTGGTTTGTTCTATGACGTTTCCATATTTGTAAAATGTGGTCAGTGACATTCGTGTCGATTGCAGTAAATGTTTCAAAACTGATATTGTTGTTCTTTTAATTTGATAACAAATTCCATCCATTTTAGCTATAATAACGGTAACGCTCTTTTTCAGGGCATTATCATTTGCAGAAGCCCTCGTTCTTTTCAACTGCCCTCCTTCGTCGGGCAATTAATGGAAGACCTCAGGCTTCTGCAAATGATAATGCCCTGAAAAATAGCGTTACCCTTATATTAGCAAGTTATTGAAACATTCTATGTATAAGGGGCGTTATACTCGTTTCGCGGTTTCTGGAAAAAGAACGCAGTCCAAACAGTAAGTTAAACGTACGTTGTCGAGTCTTTTGTAACACAGCATGTGTATTTGTTGCTCCGAATGAGTGAAAAATAGTTCGCGGAACCCCCACCCCCACCAACAACAATAACAATAACAACAATAATATAAATAACAGACTGAATAATAATAATCTGAACGATCACTATGTATGTGTGTTCAGAAGATCAGCAACCCCGCAGAGTCCTTCGCTTGGATGAAGTCGGTGGCCTGCAAAGTGAAACAGAAGGCTTTCTGTTTGCTGCTCAATACCAGTCACTTCCCACTCGAAACCGTCAATGTGTGATTTTACATCAAAATGTAAATATGAAATGGAGATGCAATGAATTACACTGTCAGTGGATGACCCGCTTTGGCACAAACATTGTATCTTAACCGACATCATGAAGTGGCTCGATCATTTTATTACCGTCTTCGCCATGCTTGTGGTTTTGACACAGAGGTCCACCCATGGTACGACCCGGAATATGTAGAGGGCGTCATGGAAAATGATAAATACAAAATTCGTTTGAATAGGCCCATTTACAGCCTTAGACCTATCCAGGCAAACAAACCTGATCTTGTCTTTTTTAATAAATCCAATGAAATCATTTTTTAAATTGAATTTTCTGTCCCTTTTGACAGTAATGTGATTGACAAGATTGTGGAAAAACTTGGCAAATATTAAGACCTCGCTTTCGAAATGTCATGCTTGTATCCAAAGTACCAAGTTGTCCGACTCCCTATTGTTCTCGGTGCCTTAGGTTCGGTACCTCCCAATCTGTTGACTGACATTGGGAGAGTACCCGGGTTTGCTACCAGCAATACAGCCCTTCTGACAATCTGGGTAATGCAGAAGGCTGCAGTGTTGAGGAGTCTCCACATTTTGCGAAAAGTTCTGGTTGGGTTTGACCTGGCAGCGCTTCCTGGGAGAAGTCCCATTCGCTGTCTGGGCTGTGTGAAGAGGGGGCAAGGGCCCCGAGCTGATGATGAGTCTAACAAGCCTGACTGTGCCAGGATCACCCACATACTCTTTGCTGCATTTTTTTGTTTAATCTGTAAATAATAATAATAATAATAATAATAATAGCAACAACAATCATTAGTGTTTCAGTTTCAGTAATTACAGTAAACTACGTTTATAACGAACACGCTTATAACGAACTGACGGATATAGCGAACTAATTTTTAGTCCCGACCATTTGTTGTATATATGATGTATGTATGCTTATAACGAACTACGGTTATTACGAACTAAAATTAGTGGTCCCCTCGAGTTCGTTATAACCGTAGTTTACAGTTCCTCTTTTGTCCTCGCCCTGACACTGATCCCTTGTCTCCTGACTTGTGATTCTTTGCCCTGCCAAAGTGAAACGTATACGATATGCATCACTTTGACTTTTGTTCCATGTTGCGTAAAATTGAGCCAATGTGTCTAGGATAATCACGTACACTTGACGATGTAGGGCTGACTCCCCTTTCTTAGCCTCTGTGCATTTCACATTTCTGGCAAATTGGTTTGTTTCGTCATTTGTTATAGAAATAACCATGCAGCATTATCACTTACCCGGTACGTGGCTGTCGACTGCGGTAATAAGAAGTATCGTTCGCAGAATAATGTGTCGGTAGGCGTCCATCTTGGCAAACAGTGGCATGTCATGTGTACACGGGCTATCAGAAGCCTGTCATTGATTGAGTCTTGACTGATACAGACCCTCTGAGGGCAGATCATGTCAAGAAGATGATACATGTCTGTGTAGCGTTATCAACAGTGTTAACAGATAAACTTTATCACGTCGAGCAAGAAATATGAACTTTGTCCAGTAAGTATGTATAGCTGACTTCGTTGATCTAACGGTTGTTAAAGGCACTTAGGACGCCCATCCATGTGAGCAGTTGGGACAACATCCAAGGCCTCAGTAAAGCTTTAAAAACGTTTGGAGGTCATTTCCTCATAATGACGCATCAGTGACAAAAATAATGCCCGATGCAGCTACTTGTATTGACGTGAAGCCTATGTCCCAGTGTTTTTAAGGTGAACAATTGACTTGCCTGTGTATGTGTTTGTGATGGATGCCAAAGGTGGGCAGGATACGCTCACCTTTTCGCGAACACCTGTGTCATCACTCTTGGTGGCTGATTCATAAACACATGACCATGATATCTTCGGAATCTTACAATGGAGACTTCTTTAGAGAGACTTCTTATGCCCATAGAAAGGGTTTCGTGGCTGTTACTTTTGTGAAAAAAGGGTGAGAGGTCTGTGCCATTTGATGTTTCAAGAATGTCAAGGCTGATGGAGGATACTCCAACCTGCAGATTTCTTATGAATATATACTAGGGGAATATATGTGTATGTGTATATATATACACACATACAAAAATGAGGTAAATGTTCACTCGGTCTACATGTTATGTTTAATAAAATATTAAAGCCCATGTTAGTCCAACATCTTCTTTATATCAGTTTCAGACATTTAGGAGATAAACCTACTGTGTTTTGAAATTTGATGTAGTCCCACTGTAGAATAGATACCTCTTTATTATAATTTTGAACTGAGCGCTTTATCTAGTTAAAAGAAGCAAGATGACAACCCCGATCTATGATGTGGTTCAACATTTACCTGTAGATTTACTGGGATTGATCGAGCCTGCGGGTACATCCATATGATTACTAATGGAACTGAGTATGACTGAACAGCCGCTGTTTAGCCTGCAGACGAGCCGGATATTTTGAAACGAGGAATCTGCATGGTGTGACCTGTCAATTTCAAATTTTCACGGATCCAAAGCCAAATAGCGACAGAACTTAGACATTTCTGGTCCAGAAATAGTAGGTCGTGTATGATTTTCATAATTGTGCGTGTTCTGAAATGAATTTCATCAAGTTTGATAAGCTGTCACTTCAGTTGGGACATTGTTTTCGTTGACTTTCGAAGGGTTGTGTTTTCTGATGCACTTTCAAAACCCCTCCTGCCAAATTCTAACGGTGGTGGTTGACGGAGATGGCAATGGATATCGATCAGAAAAAGGTTTGTAAACACCATGTTGTCATGAATAAAATGTCTTTAAACACATTTTATTATGTTATATTTCACTTTCATTGTCATTGTTTCAATAATGAAATTACCTGTTCGTGGGTTTCAGAAAAAGTTACCCAAAAAATGAACAACTATTATTTTCTCAACAAAATTTATTAGATATCACTCTTTCACTAATTTTGAATGTGTGAATCTTTCAATTATACCTCCCCACTCTGAATTGAGAACCGTCCTAACGTGTCCCGGTTGTCAGTATATCTGCACTGAACTCTCAGTTATGGCTGCCAAAGAAATTGTTAACAGTAACAGTGCTGTTAAAGAATTGCAGGAAACCAGAAGACAACCCAGTACTGATGCACAGTGTGATGCTGTTCAACATTAACACGTTGACTAACTATCCCTGCTGGTGTGATGTCAATTTTTTATAATGTTATATTTTACTTTCATTGTCGGGTGTTTCAATGAGGAAATAGCTTAAATTATTCCCATTCTGGTCACCATAGAACATTTCTCTAACAGTTTCATAAACATTTCATTTGTATGCAAAAGATATGCCTTCGTTAAATCTTGTAATGTCATCATCGAAGTAGTCAGGGTTGCGGCCTAGATTGCCCAAAAAATCCCATATCAAACTGCCGTATTTCCTCTATTTGACACTATACGCCGTCTATTTATTTCGCGAGAGCCCTTGACTCGGCGTGTATTAGAGACCTGGCTGGTATTAGAGACCCAGCGTGTATTAGAGACCTGGCTGGTATTAGAGACCCAGGGTGTATTAGAAACCTGGCTGGTATTAGAGACCCAGCGTGTATTAGAGACCTGGCTGGTGTTAGAGACCCAGCGTGTATTAGAGACCTGGCTGGTGTTAGAGACCCAGCGTGTATTAGAGACCTGGCTGGTATTAGAGACCCAGGGTGTATTAGAGACCTGGCTGGTATTAGAGGCCCAGCATGTATTAGAAGAAATATAGATATGTTTTACTGTTCATATGGGGGTGATCGATCGGCAGCCATTTCTGTGAATCGATATGTAGGCTATCTATGTATTCATACGCACATTTTTTGTGATAAGGCTTAATATATTTGAAAGGGGTTTCCGTAGCAAAAAGGAAACCTCTTTTTAACCAATCAGAATCAAGCATTTATCAATGTCATGGTAGAATGTACTTTCACTGTCTCATGACAGCTCTTCGGTGTTACTGACAATGACATATGAATGACGTCATGCTTATGATGACGTCATAATTACAACTGTGACGTCATAATGTAGTTACACAATCCAGCGACGACACCAAGTAATTTAACAATTGTAGGGAGACATTTGAAATCAAATATACAGTATTTGTAAAGAAGCAGTGTAACATTTACGATTGAAATGACAAATGTATTATTACATTCTGGAGTTAAATTTGGGTTTCATCAATTGGATAAACATTTGTTCTTTTTCTAGTCTCTGCTGCTTGTTACTGGTATAAAATCAATAAAACGCAAAAACACTACATATCCCGTTTCCGCAATACTGTATATTTTAACTATTCTTGTTTTACTTTCTGATTGTAGATTTTAGCTCCGGTTGGTCGAACCGTAAATATAGGAAAAACTAAAATGTGGCTTCAAATATGGCTTCATTCTCCACGACATGCTTGTTGACTGAAGCTGAGAGTGGCGCGGCCGCCTGGTCCGAGGGTGCAGGTCAAAGGGGAGGACACTCCGTCCACATTGAACCAGAAGACGACGGATTCTGCCGCTGCCCCTGTGAGGCTGATGAGGATGTCGTCCCCGATGCTGATGTCAGTCACTCTCTGCGGGGACATCGGGACCCACTTGGCCAACTCGCCCTGAACAAGCACCTTCTTCCTGTAATGATAAACCCACATCAGGTATTTGGGTTGCGACTGTATAAGTCCACAGTTAGAAAGAGAGAGAGTGTAATTTATCTAAATTATTTCTCATAAACATTTTTTTGTCAAAATCAGAACGAGAAATGCATGTCATGTTTCAAACTAGCATTCATTACTATGACAGCTGGGCGGTCAGGTAGCCTAGTGGTTAAAGTGTTCGCTCGTCACGCCAAAGACCCGGGTTCGATTGCCGACATGCGTGCAATGTGTGAAGCCCATTTCTCGTTTCCTCCGCCGTGATATTGCAGGACTATTGCTAAAAGCGGCTTAAAACCATACTCACTCACTCACTTCTATGACAGCTGCATACTTTGGTGAAAGAACAATTTTTATACGTTTGACATTTTTTTACTTTAGAGTGGATTAAACGTTACTGGTAATACACAAGATGTCGACAGTCACTATTTGTATGTATTTAAAGGGGAGGACTGGGAGGGATTGGTTATTTACACCATCGATTCCAATTAGTCCTATATGAAGGTAAGGTGTTAATATGAGTGGGCGAACGTATGTGTATGTGATAAACAATTTGTGACAGGAGACACAGTTTTCTCATTGAAGCAAGTCCATGTTCATTATCAGAATCAATAACCTTTGTAATAACTTACGTTGATTAATATCGTTTGTTAGTTTGTGTCACACCTCCGGACATATTAAATTAGGTTTGCGATTGCTTCTTACGTGAGCTTGTTGAAACCATTGGCTATATATGGAGACAGTATTCATGCGCATGCACTTTCATCAGACAAAAGTCTCTGTGTCAGACTGACTCGTATTGTGAAGATAGAAACAAGGCTCCCTAAAGAATAATGAACTCAACAGCCAGTCCTGACACTGGAACAGATACAAATGACGGTATATTCGCCCTCAGTGTTATTTATCTTATTGTATCCTTCCTCGTCATGTCCGCCAACGGAGTCGTCGTGCTCGTCGTCGCCAAGACAAAGGAGCTGCATATGCCAACGTCGTGGACCATCACTTGGATGGCTGTCTTTGATTTCTTCATGGGTCTGTATATCTTGGTTTTCGTCGTCCCCTCTGCTTTTCTAAACCGATTTGCCTACTCTGATACCATAGTCGGACTTGCTTCCTGTTTATTGACGTTTATAATAGGTCAAACGGTTTTCAACGTTGCCTTGACCGTCATGGAACGTTGCATTGCCGTGTGCTGGCCATTGAGATACATCCATATTGTCACGACCAAACGTTTCATCATAGCAGTAATCATCTCGATGTTCCTCAGTCTAATCCGTCTGGTCCTGATAACTGTGCCTGATGGGGATTTCTACTTCCGCGAGGATGCTGCACTTTGTGTTGTTGACTTTAATACCACTCCGTCTGTTTTGGCATCCATTGGATTTCCTATGGTATCACTGGCTGTGATTGTCATCTGTCTTGTGATGATTTTCATTAAGAAGCGACTCATGAAGAAGCAAGTAGTTCCTGAAGGTGTCTCCGTACGACAAGAGGTTCAGGTCAAATTTACAATGATGTGTCTGGTGTCCACAAGTGTCTTCTGCATTTCGTACGTTCCCTCTACATTTGGTGTTATTACAAATTACATATCCGGAAAAGACAATGTATCCACCACCCTGGCTCGGATCCTTATGACTTCGCTTTTATCCAACAGCCTGTGGAATGTGTTCATCTATGCTGCCACCTACCAGCCATTCAGGGAGGCTCTCGTCTACGTGTTCTGTAGGTCATACTTCAGAAGGAAAAGGCAACAGGAGATCATTTTAGTGCACTAATTACAATGTTTAACGCTTATTCACTCGTTGTCGCGTTGTTATTGCTCTGTAAAGTTAAAATAATGCTGCAGAATAACTTTTAATTTCTTAAAGAGACTTTGAAATGTCCAATGTAAGTTTTTTCAAATGCACATATTGTAGTCGACCAAAATGTCTATTAATGATTAATGCTAATTTTATTCAGTTAATGATACGGTTATCAATTACAGCTCGATTTACCAGGTGAACTGTGGTCTACAGCCCAAGAATTGGTATTATGTATTTGGTGATATGAAAGTGTAAACTGTCTTTACCTGAAAAAGGTGTCTATCAAAAGCACGTGCTTAGTCTTATAAAGTGAAATACAACTAAGCGGCCATGTCCTCATCTGGGAGGGGCATTTCATCTCCAGGACAAAACGAACACAAATAATTGCAGATACCATTTCCAGATAAATGGTAAATGCTTAAAAGGTGCAAATAGATTTTGTTTTCCACTAGCTTAGTAAGCAACATGGCATGCTTTATGCAACGTCGTAGGCAATATTCAATGACATTGTTCTGTCTTATGCATGTGGCCAGCTAGACTGAAATAACTTGTTCATGGTGATAGATCAGCGTGTGATCAGCTGCCCGAATATACTAGTAATTAGTGTTTCCTTCTCCTATGTGGCATGTTTGTTACATTATTGGGTCCACATCTTCGGGGACACCAGTGAGAAAACAAGTCGACAACCAAGTCGAAGAAAAGAAAGGCCCCATGCTCTGCTGATACACAAATGAAGAGGGGCGGTCGGGTAGCCTAGTGGTTAAATCGTTCGCTCGTCACGCCGAAGACCCGGGTTCGATTCCCAACATGGGTACAATATGTGAAGCCCATTTCTGGTGATTTCGCCGTGATATTGCTGGACAATTGCTAAAAGCGGCGTAACACCATACTCACTCACTCACTCACAAATGAAGAATGTTGATTTTAACAAGAAGCATATTTCTCAAATATACATGATCATAAGAAAAAGAAAAGTATGACTGCGTGAGACTAATGCCGACGTTTAAAACTCATCATTCAGACATTCTGTGGAGACAATTTGGACATCTTTCTCTAGCAGGATGATCGGCGATATGTCATTGATAGCCTAGACATGAAACGTACTGACAACGTTGGAATAGCGAAGTCGATAAAGAGAAATCAACTGTCAACCCAACAACGAGGTTACATTGCAAGAGAAGTAAACCGCTTGAAATGACAAAGTTGTCAGTCACATCACAGTTTACATTTCATGTTATCCTGAAAAGAGTAAATGGTTTGTGTTGATACATTGTAAGGTTGAAAACAAGAAGGCCCCATGATCTGTAGTGGGGGACAAGCATTACGTCGATGGAAGTTGCACACTGTTGTATGGTATATGCCCACACTAAACAGGAACTCTCAGTGAACTAAACTGATATTGCAGATTAACAGTGGTAGATTGGACACAGAATGGAGTGTAAAATGAAAAATGAACCATACGGGACGACTTAGTCTTATAACTTAATTTTGTTTGCAGCGTTAATTTCTTCGATGCTCAATGCTGATTGGTTAGTTCGAGCGATGTGACGTCATCCACTGTTAATGACATCGCAAATTAATAGTGTTATGTCATATAACCGATTTTCTCCATCCATTTTCATTGCTTTCACACAGACAACATGAAGCGTAATTACTCGTATGAGTTGGTTATACTTAGATGGTTGGTTATAAAAATTGCATAATTATTGCTCTTTCAGAAAATCCTTTTACTTGAAACCTAAACAGCCACTCCCGAGGATAAATGATTAGTTTGTACCACATTGAAATACTCAATGTTTGATATAAGTTTAGTTTGTTGACGACATGGAGGCACATTTTTCTGAATGGAAATTATGTTTGATTGTTCACCCTGATGTTTACTGATTGTATTGTGTTCAAGTTCAATCAATATTTTGACCAAGCCTTTCGCATCATGTGTCAACGGCCGTATTTGTTCTCTCTGTCATGATAACTGTTGTGGAAGTGATAGGGAACAGGCATATTTTGTTGGAGCTCAATATTGTTTTGCTGTGCATATATGTGCGTTGTACGTAGTTTTATCACATAATAAAAACTGTTAAATACCTTTTTTATAAAGTCTTTCTTCAGATGAAATCTCGAGATGAGAACGAACATTTTTGCATTCAACAGACGCTCATGCCGGTTGGTATAGAGGCACAGTATAACTATCCGTGCATAATCGCACTATTAGTTACATGTGAACACACTCATAATCAAAGTAAGATGATCGCTAATTTATTATAAGATTTTAAAAGAAAACAGAGACGGATCGAAACATGTATTTGCTTTATGAGGTATAAGTGTGTGTGAGTGAGTGAGTATGGTTCTACACCGCTTTTAGCAATATTTCAGCAATATCACGGTGGGGGACACCAGAAATTGGCTTCACACATTGTACCCATGTCAGGAATCGAACCCGGGTCTTCGGCGTCACGAGCGAACGCTTTAACCACTAGGCTACCCGACAGCCCCTTAAAAGGTATGAAGACTGTCTTGGTTGATAACGTTTGTTTGTTTGTTTGTTTGTTTGTTGTTTAACGCCGCAATAGTAACCTGAGATATAATGCAAGACATATAGTCATGTAACTTCAATTACTTGTCGATTTCTCATCGCCCTATCAAAGCGTATCAGAGCATCCGGCCAGCAAGATGGCACACAGACATAACTTTGACTTGGACGTACATTGTAGTCATGATATATGATCACCTTTTTGTGAGCACTATTTCTCGTAGATACATCTAACATATGTGAGAAAAGCGGTAGGCAATAATGAGAGGAGATCACTTACGTAAAAAGAGATTTCTGTGAACGCTCTCCGGGCGGCGCTCTACCACTAGACAACGGAGGCGGTCCCACTCTCCGGGCGGACGCTCTACCACTAGACCACGGAGGCGGTCCCACTCTCCGGGCAGACGCTCTACCACTAGACCACGGAGGCGGTCCTACTCTCCGGGCGGACGCTCTACCACTAGACCACGGAGGAGGTCCCACTCTCCGGGCAGACGCTCTACCACTAGACCACGGAGGTGGTTCCACTCTCTGGGCATACGCGCTCTACCACTAGACCACGGAGGCGGTCCCACTCTCCGGGCAGACGCTCTACCACTAGACCACGGAGGAGGTCCCACTCTCCGGGCAGACGCTCTACCACTAGAC